TAATTTTTACATTTGAAACTTTAAACCCAAAATTAGCCAATAATATTAATTATCACTTTTACATATTTAGCAAAAATTTATTGATTTTTACATTTGAATATTTAAACCCAAAATTAGCCAATAATATTAATTATCACTTTTACATATTTAGCAAAAATTTATTGATTTTTACATTTGAATATTTAAACCCAAAATTAGCCAATAATATTAATTATCACTTTTACATATTTAATAAATATTTATTGATTTTTACATTTGAATATTTAAACCCAAAATTAGCCAATAATATTAATTATCACTTTTACATATTTAGCAAAAATTTATTGATTTTTACATTTGAATATTTAAACCCAAAATTAGCCAATAATATTAATTATCACTTTTACATATTTAGCAAAAATTTATTGATTTTTACATTTGAATATTTAAACCCAAAATTAGCCAATAATATTAATTATCACTTTTACATATTTAATAAATATTTATTAATTTTTACATTTGAAACTTTAAACCCAAAATTAGCCAATAATATTAATTATCACTTTTACATATTTAACAAAAATTTATTGATTTTAATTTTTGAAAATTTAAACCCAAAATTAGCCAATAATATTAATTATCACTTTTACATATTTAGCAAAAATTTATTGATTTTTACATTTGAATATTTAAACCCAAAATTAGCCAATAATATTAATTATCACTTTTACATATTTAACAAAAATTTATTGATTTTAATTTTTGAAAATTTAAACCCAAAATTAGCCAATAATATTAATTATCACTTTTACATATTTAGCAAAAATTTATTGATTTTTACATTTGAATATTTAAACCCAAAATTAGCCAATAATATTAATTATCACTTTTACATATTTAACAAAAATTTATTGATTTTTARATTTGAAAATTTAAACCCAAAATTAGCCAATAATATTAATTATCACTTTTACATATTTAATAAAAATTTATTGATTTTTACATTTGAATATTTAAACCCAAAATTAGCCAATAATATTAATTATCACTTTTACATATTTAATAAATATTTATTGATTTTTACATTTGAAATTTAAACCCAAAATTAGCCAATAATATTAATTATCACTTTTACATATTTAGCAAAAATTTATTGATTTTTACATTTGAATATTTAAACCCAAAATTAGCCAATAATATTAATTATCACTTTTACATATTTAATAAATATTTATTAATTTTTACATTTGAAACTTTAAACCCAAAATTAGCCAATAATATTAATTATCACTTTTACATATTTAGCAAAAATTTATTGATTTTTACATTTGAATATTTAAACCCAAAATTAGCCAATAATATTAATTATCACTTTTACATATTTAGCAAAAATTTATTGATTTTTACATTTGAAAATTTAAACCCAAAATTAGCCAATAATATTAATTATCACTTTTACATATTTAATAAATATTTATTGATTTTTACATTTGAAATTTAAACCCAAAATTAGCCAATAATATTAATTATCACTTTTACATATTTAGCAAAAATTTATTGATTTTTACATTTGAATATTTAAACCCAAAATTAGCCAATAATATTAATTATCACTTTTACATATTTAGCAAAAATTTATTGATTTTTACATTTGAATATTTAAACCCAAAATTAGCCAATAATATTAATTATCACTTTTACATATTTAATAAAATTTATTGATTTTTACATTTGAATATTTAAACCCAAAATTAGCCAATAATATTAATTATCACTTTTACATATTTAGCAAAAATTTATTGATTTTTACATTTGAATATTTAAACCCAAAATTAGCCAATAATATTAATTATCACTTTTACATATTTAGCAAAAATTTATTGATTTTTACATTTGAATATTTAAACCCAAAATTAGCCAATAATATTAATTATCACTTTTACATATTTAGCAAAAATTTATTGATTTTTACATTTGAATATTTAAACCCAAAATTAGCCAATAATATTAATTATCACTTTTACATATTTACAAAAATTTATTGATTTTTACATTTGAATATTTAAACCCAAAATTAGCCAATAATATTAATTATCACTTTTACATATTTAGCAAAAATTTATTGATTTTTACATTTGAATATTTAAACCCAAAATTAGCCAATAATATTAATTATCACTTTTACATATTTAGCAAAAATTTATTGAAATTTGAATTTATTGATTTTTACATTTTTGAATATTTAAACCCAAAATTAGCCAATAATATTAATTATCACTTTTACATATTTAGCAAAAATTTATTGATTTTTACATTTGAATATTTAAACCCAAAATTAGCCAATAATATTAATTATCACTTTTACATATTTAGCAAAAATTTATTGATTTTTACATTTGAATATTTAAACCCAAAATTAGCCAATAATATTAATTATCACTTTTACATATTTAACAAAAATTTATTGATTTTTACATTTGAATATTTAAACCCAAAATTAGCCAATAATATTAATTATCACTTTTACATATTTAGCAAAAATTTATTGATTTTTACATTTGAATATTTAAACCCAAAATTAGCCAATAATATTAATTATCACTTTTACATATTTAGCAAAAATTTATTGATTTTTACATTTGAATATTTAAACCCAAAATTAGCCAATAATATTAATTATCACTTTTACATATTTAATAAATATTTATTAATTTTTACATTTGAAACTTTAAACCCAAAATTAGCCAATAATATTAATTATCACTTTTACATATTTAGCAAAAATTTATTGATTTTTACATTTGAATATTTAAACCCAAAATTAGCCAATAATCAATAATATTAATTAACATTGATTATCAGCCGATTTTATTCGATTAAAAGTTTTGTTTTAAATTTTAAATTCGATTTTACCTATTTTTATTTTTTAATTTAATAAAAGTTGTTTTGTTTTAAACTTTAAATTCTATTTTACCTATTTTTGGATTTAATTTAATAAAAGTTGTTTTGTTTTAAATTTTAAATTCGATTTTACCTATTTTTATTTTTTAATTTAATAAAAGTTGTTTTGTTTTAAACTTTAAATTCTATTTTACCTATTTTTGGATATAATTTAATAAAAGTTGTTTTGTTTTAAACTTTAAATTCTATTTTACCTATTTTTGGATTTAATTTAATAAAAGTTGTTTTGTTTTATATTTTAATTTTTGGATTTAATTTAATAAAAGTTGTTTTGTTTTAAATTCTATTTTACCTATTTTTGGATTTAATTTAATAAAAGTTGTTTTGTTTTAAACTTTAAATTCTATTTTACCTATTTTTGGATATAATTTAATAAAAGTTGTTTTGTTTTAAACTTTAAATTCTATTTTACCTATTTTTGGATTTAATTTAATAAAAGTTGTTTTGTTTTATATTTTAAATTCTATTTTACCTATTTTTGGATTTAATTTAATAAAAGTTGTTTTGTTTTAAACTTTAAATTCTATTTTACCTATTTTTGGATATAATTTAATAAAAGTTGTTTTGTTTTAAACTTTAAATTCTATTTTACCTATTTTTGGATTTAATTTAATAAAAGTTGTTTTGTTTTAAACTTTAAATTCTATTTTACCTATTTTTGGATTTAATTTAATAAAAGTTGTTTTGTTTTAAACTTTAAATTCTATTTTACCTATTTTTGGATTTAATTTAATAAAAGTTGTTTTGTTTTAAACTTTAAATTCTATTTTACCTATTTTTGGATTTAATTTAATAAAAGTTGTTTTGTTTTAAACTTTAAATTCTATTTTACCTATTTTTGGATTTAATTTAATAAAAGTTGTTTTGTTTTAAACTTTAAATTCTATTTTACCTATTTTTGGATTTAATTTAATAAAAGTTGTTTTGTTTTAAACTTTAAATTCTATTTTACCTATTTTTGGATTTAATTTAATAAAAGTTGTTTTGTTTTAAACTTTAAATTCTATTTTACCTATTTTTGGATTTAATTTAATAAAAGTTGTTTTGTTTTAAACTTTAAATTCTATTTTACCTATTTTTGGATTTAATTTAATAAAAGTTGTTTTGTTTTAAACTTTAAATTCTATTTTACCTATTTTTGGATTTAATTTAATAAAAGTTGTTTTGTTTTAAACTTTAAATTCTATTTTACCTATTTTTGGATTTAATTTAATAAAAGTTGTTTTGTTTTAAACTTTAAATTCTATTTTACCTATTTTTGGATTTAATTTAATAAAAGTTGTTTTGTTTTAAACTTTAAATTCTATTTTACCTATTTTTGGATTTAATTTAATAAAAGTTGTTTTGTTTTAAACTTTAAATTCTATTTTACCTATTTTTGGATTTAATTTAATAAAAGTTGTTTTGTTTTAAACTTTAAATTCTATTTTACCTATTTTTGGATTTAATTTAATAAAAGTTGTTTTGTTTTAAACTTTAAATTCTATTTTACCTACTAAACCCATGTTATACTATGTATTTAACACATTATAAACTGTAGTCAAAACATTTAACATATAAGTTATATAAGCATATAATAATTAAATGCAGTTTTAAAACTATTGTTTTAAATAATCTATTATTATTCCGCTACAATATAAATAAAAGTCAGTAACAGATAATATCTTTATAGAGATTATTAAATTTAATACTTCTAGTAATTAAAGATTAAATTAAGGATTACAAGTAATAACATTTTATTAATTAATTGTTTAAATCACAAATATATAAACTTTACATCAATAGAAAATATAAAAATTATATAATACTCTATCAAATTAAAGAAAATGTAATTTGTTTTATCAGATAACACAATAAATAGTAAATATTATCGTAATATACTTTATAGTATAAAGTTTATACAGTATTAAATATAAATTTATTATATTTATATTATAATATTACCGAAAATTAAAATAAATAATTGTAAATCAAATAGTTTTTAAAGTTTGTATAAAAATAACATTAGTGTTTATATTCAATAATATTGTATTTATATATTTCAAACATTATATGCATATTATTCAAATAATTGCCGGCAAATAGACTGTTAATTGAATACAATTAATACACTAAACACTTTAATATGAGATAATCAAAATATTCATATATTATAATATATAAAAATATCAAATTATCGGTAATAATAATTTTTAAAAATCAGTGCCGAGTTTTGAAACTCAAAAAGTTAAAATAAAATAAAAAACTGCAATTAGTAGTCAATTATTGATGTTTTTTAATGGCCTCATCATAAGTTGGTGGCCTTTCATTGCCAAACGCAAAACCGGCCGGTTGTGGAGCCAATGGTGGCGCCGAAGCCGATGCATTGCCATTTTGGTACACTTGATACGGATCACCGGCCAGTGTCTGTCCATAAGCGGGAAACGCCATTTGATTATATGCCGGGCACTGTTGTGGGGCTGTATTGAGTCCAGGATAGGGTGGCGGCGCTTCCATTGTGTATATAAAACCAGCCGGAGGTGGTGTCGAAAATACTTGAGTCGGTAAAGCAAAGCCACAGTTATAGGCCGGTTGATAGACAGACGGCGGTGCCTATCATCACATGAAATACAATTAATTATAAATAAAATGACAGAAATTGCACTCAAAATATCATTTAAATTATTAAATAAAAGTCTAAACAAAACCTCATAGTATTGTCCAGCAGTGGTCGTGTATGGCGGCGGCGGCTGGAAGTGCATGTTTTGGGCCACACTCGAGGCCTGTTTGGCCGCTGAATCCATAGCCTGACCGAACTCAATGGCACCGCCGTGTTTGAAGTGAAGCTTAAACGTCACACCATTCTGGCCATCGATCTGTGACTCGGGTCTGACCTTTCCTTTAATATAATTAGCGCCAAATACCGGCTGTTCGAGTGACAGGTCATATATGGCGTAAAATGGAGCCGAAAATGACCGCATATTTTGATTATTAGAACCACTCGTGAAAACAATCCGATGAGTCGTTAGATAGAGTCGACCGACGGACTGAAGATATTCACATCAATTCATTAATAAATCATTTAATTCATGTCTTATTGGATCCAATTAATGGTGACATTACTTACATTCAATGACTTGTTATCAAACTGAATGTCCACTTTATCGACGTACAGAAGTATGAGTTCACCGGCAAAGAGGACAACACCTCCTGACTGGTGATGACTTGAGTTAAATGTTGCCATCGATGGTATCAATCAATCAATTGTTTGACGCAATTATCACTTTAATGTCTGTAATAATAATAATATGCAAACATTTAAACAAAAATAACGTCAAAAATGTTTATCTAAACTAATGTTTAAAATTTTAATTAAAAATAATTAATCGATAAGTGATTGACTTTTAATGTGGTCATCGATTATATCAATTGTTTGACACAATTATTATTATTAAATGTTTTTCAAATTATCTTTTAAGTAAAAAACATTAATTAATTGTTTGTTTTAGTTTAAAATTTGTCAATACTATTACAATTTAAAAATGACCATGGTCATACATGAACAATCATAATCAAATATAATCTTTCTATTTATAGACATTTATACTGTATGAATATTATATTAATAATTTATCCATGGTAATAATTGTATTGTATTTTATTATACATATATTTATTTAATTACATTTTATTTAATAGTATTTTATTAAATTGATTTAACATTTTTTTAATGTTTTTAATGTTTTTTTAATTAGTTAATTGATTTGCTTTTATTAACAAAAATAACTGTCCGATCATTTAGTGGTTGTTGTGTCCGATAATTGTCGTTAATATTGCATTCATAACCATTAGCTTCATATGACTGTCCATCAGATAATGAATAATAAGACAATTGTCGAAATGTATCGATCTATTCAATTATACAATTATTATTAGTTAATATTTAAATAATTGTTTTATTAGTTTTAAAACTTTTGAATTACCTGTTGTTGAGTACAACGGATCGGATGTTTGAAGACAATCCACTCAACTGTTTCCCAAAGAGGTGGTGTTGTCAGAGACCCGCTGTAAGTCCAATACGAGCGCTCAGTTGGCAACAGATTTGAGATATTAATGGCTTCTTTGACGACAATCTTCTGACCCTTATATGTAATTTGTGGCATAAGTTGAGTCAATTTTGACATCTCTTCATTTGGTTTATCACAAGATTCAAGAAATACGGCTAAAACTGACAGACCATGTGGTGAATGGAGTGCCTCCTGAGGACTGGTATATAAATCGGTGTTCCAGAAGACAAAATGCAACTGTTTTTAATAATTATAGAAATTATTAGTTAATTACCCGGTATTTGATTTTTTTATAATTATATTTTCATAATAATGTTATTAAAAATTATAAATTAATTTATATATGTTTTATGAGTATATTTTGTTTTTTCATATTTCTTTTTATATGTTTTCATGTATTCAACTTAAAATATCTATTGATATTATATTTATTAGACTTAAAAGTTTACTAATAATAAAAATTTTATAGTTTATAAATTTGTGTTATACAATTAAAATAAAAAATGTTTATTTTAAAAACTATTAATTGAGATTTATTTTACTTTAGTTAGTGATCAATGAAGGAAACAAACAAACTTTAGATTTATTAATCACTAAATGTATTGTTATTAAAACAAAAACGCCGTCAAAATTAAAGACCAAAACTAAGTCTAGTAAAGACTTACTTCAGCCGAGTATTGTTTGTCATCAATGGTGTGTTCAGAGCCACAGTTGCATGACTTTCCCCAATGACAGTGAAATTGTGCCAAACGGTAGTTGTGATCAAGTGGTCCACCACTTAGTGCTAGTTGTCATCAAATAAATAATAATTAGTTAATAACATAATGTTTCCCTATTTTTAAACAACTATTTTATTTAAAAAATTATTTTCATATAATAAAATTCTTTTATAAAACTAATTGTCACAGAAATAAAATTAATTGCTTAATTAATGTCAAATAATACAATTATTTTATTTTATTTGTACTATTAAGTTAAGCGTTAAGAAATCAATTAATCCTATTTTCATTTCAATATAAATAAATTACAATATATTAATTAATTAAAGTTATTTAATTTATTACGAAAACAAAAGTTTATTAAAATAGACAAAAAACTGTTTTTAAATGTTTATAATTAATTAGAAGTGAATTAAGTCAAATATGTCAAAATCAATTAATATTATATAGTTATATAGTAATAATATTATATCAGGTATTAATTATTACAATAATTATACAATTAAGCACTTATTGTAAAACATTTGAATATATACTTGAAATATCATTTTCATTGAAGACATCAACTCTCCAACCGAAGAATTTGTCATCTCTTGGATTCTTTAGGACCAAATCAGTCAACTCTTTTGGATATTTAATAATTAATGGCTTTAACTCAAGATCTCTATTATTTAGCAGACATTTGTTTGTTTGAATATTAATGGGTGACTGGCGTTTGCCTATCAGTGATATGGGATAATCGGTATACCAGTGCTCAGAACCTAATAATTTTAATACAAATAAAAAATTTATTTACTAAAAATAGATTTATATTTAATGTTTAAATTATCAGTTAATCCAATTATTGAAACAATAACATTATAATAATTTTATTGCTTTTATAAGTTTATTTTGTTACTTTATTAAAAAATACATTATAGGAAAATAATGCAATATATTTAAAACAAAACTAGCAAAGTATTTATAGTTTTTCTAATAATAATTTAATTAATTTATTAAATCATATCTATTTAAATTTAGTTTTTAATAAAAGATAAATTTAAAATTAAATAATTGTTTGAATTATGCAATTCAGCATAATTCAAAATAAAGTTTATAATCAAATTAAATACGATTATTATTTTTAATCTTTTAAATGTTTTTTTAATCTATTAAAATATTTTATTTAGTTATAAATTTACAAATATACAATATATTACATTATAAGATAAAAATTAATTATTTAGATAAATTAATACAATAACTAAATATAAATAAATTTTAAATATTATATTATATAATTAAATTAGTATAAATATAAAAATAACTTTTTTTGGGTCAGAGAGATGTCTATGATTTACTTGTTATAAACAGAGATATAATTATTTGAAACAATATATGAGAAATTTTTAAAGAAAACATTTTAATTTCTAGTTGAATAAAAAAATGAGATTTAATTTACTTTTTAAATTATATAATTATAAAAATGATTTTTGTATACGATATGGTTATTAACATTGTATTACATAATGAGACATAAAAAGTAAAAATAAATTGTTTTTGATAAAAGTTTAATTGCAAAATGTAAAACAAAAAGAGTTATTTCATAATTAAATTAACAATATTTTTGTTTCTCTCTTTTATAATAATAAAAAATTCATAAAAATATGAATAAACTATAAAGTGATGAGAAAATGAGACTCAAGTCATCCAAACATGTGAAAAGTGAATTCAATGTTACACACGATTAGTAATTTCCCACAATTTTGGCACTCATTCAGTGAGACAATACACTACACTAAACATTCGTATAAAACACTTATTAATAAAAATCAGTAGAGAGTGAATGAGTGAATAGTTTATCATTAAATATAAAACTTTAAAAAACTAGTCTAATAATTCCCACACATTTCTGCTAAATGGTATAAACATTACATAATATAAGTATAGAGATAGAGAGGACAGGGATAGAAAGTGAGTGAGAGAGACCTGAGATGTATTCTCTCACAGATTAAACCTAAGTTACACTTAAGGACTACTTAAGACATACAAAGAGAGTGAAGACAGAGAATCTGATGTTTGTTTGTCTGAGAAAATTGTTTTTTTTCTTAAAGATTACAGTAGTTGTCAAATAAAGTGTGTAAAATAAACATAAAATCAAATTAATAGATAGGTTTGGCATCCCATAGACGGATCTAATTGACTTTGGGGGAGGTATGAGTTGGAGATAACTTGAATCAAACAAACAGGTAGTTATGGCTTATTTGAATAATAAATAAATATTTAATAATATAATAATAATGACAACTCACGCGATGAGTCAGGTCTTTGTTTTTTGGCTGATCTGCCGGTGCTGTGATTGTCATCACTAGTATTACTGGTATTACTGTTGTCACCGTAATTATGGTATGACCTGAATGTCAGTTTGTGATGATTGCTTTCATCCAATTGTTTCAATGTTTTGCACCATATATTGTGTCGATTGACCGCTAATTGCAATCTACTTGTCATACATTTGCCAACTGATATTACGGACATTATTTAGTAAATAAAATTATATCACACTTTGCATATCACACTATATTATATATTTTATAAGTTAACGAAAACCTGGACAACAATTATATTTCATAATAGTCGTAACTTAATTTATTCCCATTTTATGGGATACTATTTTCTGTTATATACATATCACACAATTGATTAAAACAATCAGTTAATTAGTTAAACCAAGAAAATAAATTCAATACATATGTTATACAAAATAAGTGATCAGTCGTTTTGTTAATCAGTCAGACATTGAATATCGACGTCAGTAACAATTTGTATGCAAAAAAATCAGTTAGAAATTGACTCCTCATTAGTAGTCGAGTCCTTGGATTTGCTGCAAAAGTCCTTCACATTGTTTCACAGACATTACACCAGAGAGGGAAATGTATGCCTATTTAGGAATTGGAAATGTATTGAAATATTTATAATTAAATTTCTGCCATTACCTCAAATACCAGTTTCCTTTAGTATGGGTTACTTTCACTTTATGTTTATATCAATTTTTTAATAGAAAAATCCATTTGTTTGGTTTAATGGCAACATTTCACATGATTATTGCTATAAACATTGGGTATATAATATGAAACGACTTTATCACTAAACGGTTGTCACGTTTTCTTCATCCGCGAAGTATTAGCCGACTCTCACCAGTCAAACAACAACACAGACAACACATACCATCTCTGCCGGCGTCTACTGCTTGGCTCTGTTATTGATAGGCATACCTATGTTCACCAAATAGGTCTTCAACATAGTTATACTTTATATCAATAGGTAATATTTAGTTTAGAAATGCTTATAAATCAAATTATAAAACAATGAACAAACATATTTAATAGTCAATAATAATTCATATAATACTATATATATATATATATATATATATACCGTATGTATAATATAGTAATAGCATATTTTTAAAACACTATATAATCTATATTTTTTAAATATTACATTTATATTTGCACTCTAATTGCACTCTGGACTCAGGGGTGCACCAAATATCAGGACAGTTATGTCAAAACAATTTAAAAATTTTTATATAATTTATTATACGTTTATACAGTATATATCACATCATTAGTTGTTCATTAAATGATATCCTTAAAAGTTATAACAATGTGATTAGATATGCAGTTATTTAACTTAAGTTGAGTGCTTATTGTGATAATTTTAATCTTACTGTAAAGTTATACTGTACGTATACATCAAAATATCTTATTTTTACATTTATAAGAAAATAGTGTCATAAAACTTATTATATATTATACTATAATAATTTATATATTAAAAAACCCAAAGTCATTCAAAGCTAACTATTACAACAAATGTTTCAATTTTAGTTTTTGTTAATTTCTATTATTTTCAATAAGACTTCATAAAAATACATAATTTTCAGCAAAATAATAATAATAATAATTATTATTATTATGTTATAATAATAATATATAATAATTGAGGTCTATTTAAATAATATCCTATTAACACAGAATTTAATCGTATTTTTAATTAAAACAACTCTTTTATGTAAATTAGTTTCTATCCATTATTATAATACATTTAACAATAAAAATTTTGCTCCAAATGTTCAACTATATAGAAATATTTTGTTATCAGCAGTCATACAATTACTGTTACAATTAAACTATTATTAATAAACACTATATTTAGTATTGTATTGTTATATTTCAAGCATTACTTTATGCTTATATAATAGTGAAGAGTGAGAACATTACGTGCATTAGATATTTGTTTATCAAATATCATAATTATTTTTATTTTGTTTGGATGAGACCACATATTAAACATTATTTTATGGTTAGATAATAGATAAGATATACCATATGAATGATTGATAAACTTTTTTTCTTTTATGTGTTTGTGTTGAGCCTCCGATATATTGTTTATATTATTAAAGCATTAAAATAATATTTAAAACGTGTATTATAAATGTAATACATATTATATAATGACGAAATATACGGAGTACTATAACAATACAGTATAGTATAACATTAACATATAAAAGATACGCTGAAATAAATCTTTACTTTATATTGTAATGTAGTTTAAACTCAATAAACAGGAATTATCATTGAATTTACTGTAATTTTCCTCTCATTTTTTGATCTAATCTTTAATAATAAAAAGACTTTTTTTATTGTTTGTGTTTAGTATACAATTTAGCAAATGTGTGTCGGCTACTGATTTAAATAATTTTTCAAAAAAAATATTAATGAAATAAAAACATTTAAATAATATGAGACGATTTTCAATTATCTCAATGTTAATAACAATAAATATTAATGAAAACGAAAAAACAAAACTAATGTTAAACATACATGTATTTTGTTTGTTGTTTTCAATAATGCAAAATAACTAATAAAGAAAAGTAAGATTTTTAATATTTTTGCAGATTTTTGTTGATAAACAAAATATTTAAATAAATTATCACGAATTGAATATAAAGTATATTTAAATTACAAAAACAACTTTATTTAATTAATATACAGTATAAGCAATGAGTATATATTTTATAATAAATAAAACAATTAATAATTTAATACATTACATTATATAAACACTAACAGTTACAAATGCAAAATTTAAAAAAGGAACTTGTTCATAATAAAGATATTATATTTTAAAAAAAAATATTATAACAAAATTCATAATTTATTTTTTCTTTATATAAATTTATTTTTATTACATATAGTTTATTGTATAATATAATTTAATATTTAAATTATTATTAAATTTTATAGAAATGTCATTTTTTAATTCATATTTAATAAGGTTTAATATAATTCACGTTTTTTAAATATCGATAAAAAATAATGTTATAATTTTTGTTCTACAAAAAAATAATTTACGAATCTTAAATTTATCTAAAAACGCAAAAAACGATAAAATTATATATAATATATATCTTTTTAAATTTTATATAAAATAATTTAATACTATTCAATGACTTGCAGTATATATATATATATATAGTTGGCAAAAAGAGAAATTTCTAAAATAATAGAGAAAGTTCTGGAAAGTTCCTAAAAGAAATTTATGTCTATGAAATCCAAATATTAATTTTGTTGTCTCGATATTTGTTATTTTGAAACAATTCATTATAACTATAAATATGAACTCAATTTTATTATTAGTATTTTAATTAATATTCAAAATAAAAAAATAATTCATTTAATTATATTAAATTAAAAATATAAATCAATTATAAATAAAATTATACAAAAACTAAAATTATAATTAGATAATTATATTAATTTTATGAATAAGAATCCCATTAATATAGTAGTGTAGAGTATTTCAGTACATTATTACAATAGCTATAGATATGGGGATCCCATAGTATAATGATAAAGTAACATTTTTATAGAAATTTATTCCTTGAGAAACTTTCTAGAAATTTTCTTAGGCAAATTTATTAGAAAATTTCTAATTGCCCATCTCTAAGTATATAATGTATAGTTAGACACTGATTGTTTGAAATTAATAATAGTTTTAAACTTTTAAACTATTATTTATTCTATAACTTAATACAAAATTGTAAAACACAATTCAGTTATTTTTATTGTATAAAATAAAATCCGCATTTTATAACTCAAGATACATAAAAACAAATATATTTATATAAAAAGTATTTTCCATTAATAGGCTTTCATCAGACTATCATTTAATGAATAGTAAATGCTTTATATTTTTATTGAAAGCCCTAATCTCCACCTATTGATGTTTGTCTTATCGTTTGCCACAAACATTACATTTATTTATATTATATAAGGGTTACACCATTAGGTGAACGCATTTTTATCATTAACCTTTAAATATAATGATAAAAATATTTTTGAATTTAGTAATATATATAGCATATATATATATACCATAATATATTAAACTTACTTTAGATATCTATTCAAAATTTTTTTTATTCTTTGTTAAAATAGCCTAACCCTTAACATAAAGGTGCTTAACATTTGCCTACATATTATTATTTTAATATAACAATTGTGTCAAATATGACTTGAATTGAATGGCCCACCAGTGAAGGGCTTGAAAATCATATGATATGCCATTTAATATTTATACAATAAGTTCAGGATTTTTCATGATTTCATACAGATTTTATTGTTAGCACCTAATTATCTGATAAATATTTTTGATAAGCTATAAATACAATTCATTATATATTAATCAGTTTTTATATTACACATTATTATTTTATTTTAAAAATATTATACACACACATATATATAGGTAAAAAAATAATAATTAATAAAAGAAATAATTAATGAAAGTTTAATTTATTATCTTTATTATAATGTTGATAGACTTTTATTATTTTGCTATTTTTGAAAGCAACAAATTTTGTTTTCATAGAAATATTGTTAGAAAAAAAACATTTGCCGTTGAAATCGGATGACTTGAATATATAAATAGTTGAATGATTTGTTTATATTTTTAGACGACAATACAGTTATGAAAGCACAGGTAGAGGAACTCCGGAACAATGACTTTAAATAAAGTTTAGAATTAAAAAAAAATGACAAAACAATTGAGCGAAATATTGTTTTGTCAGAGAAAATTGGTTTCACTTTTATTTTATATAACGTTATATACAGTATATAACATTTCAAATCTTTGTTTCTCAAGTATATCATCGTCTTATTTGAGTTATTATATAAAATAAGGATAATAATAATGGTTTAATGAAATCTATTGGAGGGATAGACAGTGATGATATACAGAAGCAAAATTGAATTTTGTTTATTATATTATACTTTTTATTGTTTAGAAAGTCGGTTCAGGTATGTGTAAAATGTAAAGGGAACGTTCCCCGTGTATAACTGGCCCCAGAGTCATGATCCATAAAAAAGATATACCAAATTGTGGTGTGTTTAGTAATAGGGGACTGGGAGTCAGTACTCTATTATATATAAGTTTTTTGTTTGGTTTGTTATAATAATAATAATAATATACGAGGATTTAGCTAAACTATTGCATTTTATACATACATTCTCTAAATGTTTGTTGAGTTTCTTAACACATTTCAAATAAAATTTATATCTATTTATCTAATATTTCTATCAATAAATGAATACCAAACGGAACTGCTTTCACATTTGGGTTTCACTAAAAATATTTCTCTCATAAAAAATAATTTCATTTATTATTATTTTTATATTTGTATTTACTATTGAAAAACTTTAAAAATCGTTTTAATTTATAATAATATTATTAGTATTTTCATTATAATTTAATATTATGTCTTTTCTAAAAAATAATTGAACTGATTTAATTGAATAAATAAATTAACGACAAAATTGACCATTATTTTTTAAAATAATAATAATTTATTGCTAATACTTATATTATATAATTTATTTATTAAAAAAATAATTCACATTAATTAATATTATTAACTCGATTTGTTACTTTGTTTGTAACTGGATTTGTTAAATTATTTTATGATTAAATTTATATCTTAAATACTGAAATAAATAATTTAAAAGGAAATTATTTGCAAAATATGTTAATAATTTTAATATACATATAGTTTTGCATTATATAACAATAAAATGAACGAAAAATATGGTCAAAACAGGAAAATCCAACGTAAATATTTTTATATTATTTTTTAAAGAGAGAGAGAGAGAGAGAGAGAGAGAGAGAGAGAGAGAGAGAGAGAGAGAGAGAGAGAGAGAGAGAGAATAATATGATGCAATTGCCGTTGAAATTCCAAATATTTAGGTCTGAGCTATGACTGTGAGATACTGTATGTCATTTAACAATACCTTTAAATAAATCAAACAATACTTTAAAGTATTGGTCTCTATGCTAAACAAGCGGTACATTACAACTGTACCCAACCTTAGCTCAAAGCAATATTTCAATGTATAACAAACCAAGTTTTTCTCTCATTCATTGATATATTATACAAAATACGGCCACCAGTTGTGGTATTTCAAGAACTCGGAGCTCAGGCGCTGAGAGAAAGAGAGGAAAAACCTGCCATTCCTTGCATAGCAAACGCTCTTAACTTATTGTAGTTCTGATTGCAAGCAGTATTATGTTTGGCATACAGTAAACACCTGTCGCATCGTATGGTATGATCACAATCAGTGAACATTTCAGTTAATTTTAAGCACACATTTGGCTCAACGCAAAAGCTTTTCTCTGTCTCTTAAAAAACTTGTGCAAAAAGTCTATCGTTTTTAAATAGTTTTGAACGGCTATTAATTGACTGCTACCTACATGTGCTCTCAGTGCAGATCATGAACTCCTGTAGTAAAGGATGATTGACTTAAAAAATCTCTTTCCGATTCAACACAGATTTACTTCAAATAGTGATTATTGTTTTGTGTTATTATTATTTTAAATATAAGATAATTGCTATTTATTTGTTAATATTTGTCTTAGTGTTCAATTGTGTGCAACCAATTGTATAGTAAAATAGTTTAAAGTTATTAAAAAAGTATATAAGTAATGATAATAATAAAATTCATTTTTTCATGACTTATAATAAATTAATATAACAATCTATAAGATTTAGTATAAACCCACACTACATGAAATAAAATTTATTATATAATATTTTATTTATACAAACAAAATACAAATGTTTGCTTAAATAGTTACTGACAGTTGAAAAAAACTGTAATCACGTGTTTTGTCTATAATAATAAAAAATTAATTTTAACTTTAAAAAGAATAATATATTTTTCAAAATATTTAATAAGATAACATGAATTTATATATCTATAAAAATATTACAATATGTTAAATTGTAAAATATAATTTGGAAATTACGCTAAATTTTTTACTACGCAAAGAAATTTGATAATTATTTTTGTTTCTAAATCCCAAAATTAATACATTGTTTTCATGTGACAAATGTAAAAGTTTTGAAATATTGTACAATTTTTTTGTTGTTAATTCGTTATTATAAATATCGTGGAAAGTCTTGTGATAATTCCGCAAATAATTTCTAAGTTTTTATTATTTTTTGTAAAACTAAATTACTTATTACATAAATTTTTATATCATAAGACAAAAATTTATACACAACTGATCTCATAGTAAAACAACTGATGTTTTGGTTTGACATTTGGTTAGTGTTTGTGTGAAAACATAAAATTTTATCTATTCATCAAATTTTTGTTTGAATAGAAAAAGTGATATTAAAATTTATTTTCATAATTTTTATAAAAATTAATGTTTTCCGCATTCATCTATTTTTTTATCACAATTCACAAATTTAATTTGTAAACAAAAAAAACTATACATAATTGGATTGATTAGTAATTATGTTAACCATGGATTCATTAGAGTTGGACTCATTTGGTGACATTACTCTTAATAACAATAATAATAATAATACAAATAATAATGATAAAATTTGTGATAAACATAATAAAAATATCAATAAATTTGGTACATCTAAGACAAATGGTTATCATTGTATAACAAAAGTGATATCAAATGATAAAACTGATTTTTGTGCCCTAACTCTATTAGATCTATCAAACTCACAGCTCAGTTCAATTCCTATTGAAATTAATGACTTAAAAAAGTAAGTAATCTGTACTCTTCTAAACCATTAATAAACAATTTTATTTATTTAAACTAAAATTTATTCATTATTAGTCTATTTAAAAAATATCATTTGACTGTAATTTAGTTTTAAAAAATACTATATATTTGGTTTGTGTTTGTTTGTGATCTTATTTATTATTAAGTATATTTCAATTTAGTATTAATTAATGACATTTAGATCGATTACAACTTGTTTTGATTAATCACATGAAAATTCATTATATCATATAAAAACAAATAATAGATTTAATGTATGTTAGGTTTAGAATATATAGGAAATAAAATAAATATAATAACAAAATTAAAATATTCAATTACACATACATTAAATGATAATTATGATTACATTAAATGATAGTAAACCAAATTAGGAAATATTGTATCGATAGTACTTGTTTTTAATAAAAATCTTTTCATATAAAGTTAATTTAGTTGGTATTACATATTATGATATACATAATATTTGAAAGTTGTAAAATTTAATTGATAATTACACTAATGAAACCGTTAATTATATTAACTATGCCATAATAATAATACAGTAAAACTACAAAATCAAAATATAACAAATGTATAAATGTAAAACCAAGATTAGATAATATCGGTATGTAAATATAGAAAAGTTATTTTAATGGGAAAAACTAATAAAAGTAAATTATACCTAAATTCCTATCAATGTTCCCATACTTTCCACTAACCATTCCTGGAAACCTATTGTCGGTATCTCCCAAACAACCCTATGAACCCCTTTTATCACATTTTATAACTTAAAATATCAATTAAAGCTATGGTCACATACATACACAAACACACATACATTCATATCAATTATATCTTATACACAGATATCAAACATATTTCTAAAAATAAGACCACACTTTGAAATGTGGGTCAAACTGACCTTCCAGTGGTCAATCATTCAATACATTTTATTATATACTTAAACCCTATATAAATGTAAGTCAAACAATAGATACGAGGGCATTGTATACCATAGTCTATGCTTATAGACATCATAACATATATGAAATACAAATATTTCATATCAAATGTATTTTCAATAATAAAGTTTTAAATAAAGTTTTTTCATTTACACTCAACATATCGACTGCAATTCATTTCAATTGTTTTTTATAATTCATACCATATTTTACGCCACGACATATAGTCGGCAGGATTGTGACCACAATCCCTATCAATGAATTTAAAAGTTTTCATTAGTGCATCAGTTTTTATATTATTGTTAACTGCAAGTTGTATTGTAAGCGCCGGTATATTCAGTAGACTATACAGAATCGGTAAAAAACTTGTTGTGCCAACAGTTGCCGTCGACCTAACTATTAGATCAGCCGAAGAAATAGTGAAAGCTATTGACAAAAGTGATAAACATATCGACGAGCAAACAATCGCTGCAATCATCGCACTCCTGAAGAATGGCACCGAAGAGAAACACTCGACAGTCAACTCAAACAGCACCGACACCAACAACAACACAACCGATGAGCCAAACAAACACAACAACACCCAACAGACCTCCACAAGACGATGATCCACAAAACAATGACAACACTCACCCAACAACGCAATTGGTGGACATCGAGGACAGCTCCGACACCGAGATTTACGATTCATCGCATATCAAGCCATCAAACAGTAAGCCTAAGATTCAAGTATATAAAGGTTTAGGAGATAAAATCTCAATAGAAAATTGGTTTAAACGCTATGAAATGATAGCAAAATATTATAAGTGGACAGACAGTGATAGGGCTATTATATTAGGTAATCATCTCGAAGATGATGCTCTCAATTGGTATATCGAAAACTTCGATAACCAAAGTTTTGAATCAATCAAAAACAAATTACTGTACAGATTCGGCATTGAATCTATTGAACCTATTGTAGAGTTTGTAAACTTAAAATATGATGTAAGCCAAGGCATAAAAGAGTACTTTGAAGCTAAGCGACGATTAGGTGTAGCGGCAAAACTAACTGAGTCTCAGATGATTCCCTTAATGATCCATAATTTGCACCCAAAAATGGTTGAATGTTTTACAGCTGTGAAACCAAAAACATTTGCAGATTTTTATACAATAGCAAAAACTGCAGAAAATAACTTTAAGCGCTTCCAATCAATTGCTAAATCAAATACTGTGTCAATCAAACCAATAGCAAAGCAAAGATATGACCAAAAATCAGATAAACCGAAACGCAAACCCCTATCCCCTTGTTTTATCTGTGAGAAACTGGGACTTAAAGGCCGGTATCACTGGTCTAATGAGTGTCTAAACAAAGGCAAACCTAACACAACACAGACAACTAATGCTAAAAAAATTAACAATTTTGAAGTCAATAATGACATCACAGAGTCTGCCGAAAATGACATAAATTCAATACATTTAAACTAAATAAGAGACCTAATCATCAAAAACTTATCAAAATTTATGCCATTATTAATAAACAAATATTTCATATCATTTTTGATCCCGGAGCTAATGTTAGTGTCATTAGTGATCAAATAGTTAAACAGTTTAAACTACCATTTAATAAACAGACAACACATTTCAAAACTATTAATAATTCAAATTCGTGTTTATGTCTCGTAAATATTACATTAACCATAGGTTCACTAACTCATGAATGTACAGTATATGTCATTCAAAAATCTAACCATAATTTTCTATTAGGTTTAGATTTAATAAAAAAATTCAATTTACATATGAATAGCAATTATCAGATTATACAAACATTCACAAACAATAATATCACACAAACAGATGAGATATTATCAAATTATACAAAAAATCAATGCATTGACAATAATTGTCACATAAATACCAATGAGATGCTTATCTCAAACAATTTAAACAGTGATCAGCAAAACAAATTGCATGCAATCCTAACCAAACATTCAAACATATTCTCAATTGATAAATTCGACATCGGGTTAATAAACACTGAAAAATGCACAATAAATATCACAAACAATGTCCCAATAAATTTACGTCCGTATCGGTGCTCACCATCGGATCAACAGGTAATCGATGACCAAATCGATAAATTACTAGAAAAAGGATTCATTAGGAAAAGTGTCAGTCCATACAGTTTCCCTATAACTCTCGCTTACAAAAAAGACGAGGGTACAAAAAGCCGGTTAACCATAGACTATAGGAAACTAAACAAAATTACAATTCCCGACAATTTCCCGTTCCCGCTATTCAATGACATTGTAGACAAACTAATAGATTGTGAGTATTTCACAACCCTAGACATAACTAGTGGGTTTTGGCACATAAGAGTTGATCAAAAAGATATACATAAGACAGCATTTGTCACAACAAATCAACACTACGAGTGGTTAACTATGCCGTTCGGCTTCAGGAACTCCCCTATGATTTTCCAGAGAGTTATCCAAAACATATTAATTAAACATAATTTAAATAATTTTGCTCATAATTATTTAGATGATATCATAATACATTCAAAATCATTAACTGATCACATAAAACATATTGAGAAAACATTAAATGCATTACAGTGCGAAAACATAAAATTAAAATTAACAAAATGTAAATTTGCAAAAAATACAGTACAATATTTAGGTCATTACATAACTAAAAACAAATACACACCAATAAATGATAACATTATCGCAATTAAAAGTTTCCCTAAGCCAAATACAGTTAAACAATTGCAACAATTTTTAGGAAAAATAAATTTCTATTATAAATTCATACCAAATGCATGCAAACAACTAAACCCATTATATAATCTACTTAAAAAAGATACACAATTTAAATGGGATACCGATTGTGAAAATTCATTCAATTGGGTTAAAACATACCTAACAAACAAACCAGTCTTATCTATATATGACTCAAATAAAGAGTGCATACTCTATACAGATGCCAGCAAAATAGGTACCGGAGCCGTGCTTAAGCAGATGCAAAGTGACAGTAAACTACACCCTATAGGCTACTTCTCTCGTAAGTTATTAAACTATCAGAAAAATTATAATGTCTCAGAGCTTGAGTGTTTAGCACTAGTTCAGGCGCTTGACTACTGGCATCATTATCTCTACGGCAATCAAGTGATTGTATACTCAGACCATAACCCATTAAAGTGGTTAAACTCAATTAAAAAACCGACAACACGTTTGTTCAATTGGGCTCTCAGGATAGGACAGTATAATCCTGATGTCAGGTATATTACTGGTAAAACTAATATCGGTGCAGACCTATTGAGTAGAAACCCTGTACTCGAAGGTAATGATAAATACTGTACCACAAAATTTCTCAATATATTAGAGCTAACAGATAATTGTCAAACATTACCAATAAATATCATAACTACAGACATAATAGTTAAAACACAAAAACAATTCATTAAAACATTACCCAAACATTGTATTATTGAAAACAATATCATAATCAGACAAAAGGCTGACACCAAACGTATATACATACCCGACCCTCTCATCCCTAGACTATTAAGTATTGTTCATAAAAATTATGGTCATATAGGTGCTCACGCTATGACACAATTGATTTGTAGCGCATATTATTTCAAAAATATATACAATCATATCAATGATTATTTAACTAAATGTTTAGTTTGTCAAACAAATAAAATTAATAGAAAGCAAAAGTTGGGATCACTATCCCAAATAGGTCCGGCACAGCAACCGTTTGATATCATATCCATTGATACAGTCGGTGGTCTGGCCGGGTATAACTCAAAGAAACAGTATATTCATGTAGCTATTGATAACTTCAGTCGCTTCCTATGGACTACCGCTTCCAGTACTCAAAGTGCTAAGGATTTTATACAATTAATCAAAAATGTTTGTCAAACACATAAACCAAAACTAATTCTGGCCGACAGGTACACAGGTATCAAAAGCAATGAATTTTGTAATTTTCTTGAAAAACACAACATTAAAATCATGTTTATTACAACAAATTGCCCGCAATCTAATGGGTTATGCGAACGTATAAACCAAACATTAGTTACTAGACTTCGCTGTAAAATCAATGATAATAATCAATCAATTTGTTGGCCAAAATTGCTAAACCATTGTACACACGAATACAACAATACAGTACATTCAACCACACAATACACTCCAAACTATTTATTATTTGGAGTCAAACCATTTTACCACTACATGTATGGATCTGACATTACAGTAGATCAGGCGCGAAAAATTGCATTTAAAAATTCATTAGATAGTCATACAGTGAATAAATCATATTATGATAGACATCATAATCCAGTTGAATTTAATGTAGGAGACCTAGTATTAGTCGACTATAAAAATAAGATATCGCGTAAAAAGTTAGATCCATTAATGTGTGGGCCATACAAAGTTATAAAGAAATTATCCAATATATCATATGTACTAAATTGTGATAAGAAAGGCAAAAGTACCGACACATACCATATATCCAAACTCAGACCATACATACCCGAAGACATGTCATAAAACCCAGGGATGTAAATATAGAAAAGTTATTTTAATGGGAAAAACTAATAAAAGTAAATTATACCTAAATTCCTATCAATGTTCCCATACTTTCCACTAACCATTCCTGGAAACCTATTGTCGGTATCTCCCAAACAACCCTATGAACCCCTTTTATCACTTTTTATAACTTAAAATATCAATTAAAGCTATGGTCACATACATACACAAACACACATACATTCATATCAATTATATCTTATACACAGATATCAAACATATTTCTAAAAATAAGACCACACTTTGAAATGTGGGTCAAACTGACCTTCCAGTGGTCAATCATTCAATACATTTTATTATATACTTAAACCCTATATAAATGTAAGTCAAACAATAGATACGAGGGCATTGTATACCATAGTCTATGCTTATAGACATCATAACATATATGAAATACAAATATTTCATATCAAATGTATTTTCAATAATAAAGTTTTAAATAAAGTTTTTTCATTTACACTCAACATATCGACTGCAATTCATTTCAATTGTTTTTTATAATTCATACCATATTTTACGCCACGACAAGTATAATATAAAAATTTATAAAAAAAATATTCCAAAAAATATATTTTAGAAATATTTTAATTATTTATTGTTTAATATATATATAAATTAAATTTTATACAGATTATATTGGATGATAATATTTATTTATAAATTAAATTGTTTTATAAAATAATTATAAGTATTTTAAGTTAAATTTATTACTCATTAATACATTATATTATGCAAAATATATTATTTTTTAAAACACAAACTCATTTATTTTAAGTTTTATTAGATATTTTACAATAGCAAATAAATTTTGCATTTAAATTGATAATTAACATATATTTCACATTTTATTACTACAGTTTGTTAATATTGAATATATCGCACAACAATGTGGAGAAAATTGGTAATAATTTAAACAATAATTTATTGTCAAAATTGATTGCAAGTTTCAATCGGCTGACAATCAATCAAACATTGGTCAACAAAATCATAGACTCATTTCCCTCACTAACGGATTTAAACCTAAGCTATCAGTCAGTTAATAGTGATTTCAAGTCAACAACTAATGAATTATCCAATAATAATACAAATCATATTAATATTATTATTAATAATGAGTGCAATAAAATTGATTTAAACGGTAGTCAATTAAAATATGTTAATATAAGTGGCAATCATTTGAGTCAATTGAGTCACTTTAATGGCTGTACAAGTCTTCACACACTTGTCCTCCACAGCAACTCTATGACCACAATACCACTGTTCAAGTGTTGCCAACACCTACAGGTGCTCGACATTAGCAACAATTGTTTTGATGAAAAACTAATAACAGGTATGTCCTTCACTGCTAAACTTATCAATTGTTAAAGTATTGAAATATAAAACAATTGATTTGCAAATTAATGTTTATTTTTATTGCTTTTATATTTGATGTTTTGACAAATGAGTTACAATTGTATTTCAAAAGATTAATATTTTTCAGATAAATGATTCATTGGTGTATATACTGTATATTTATAATTTTCTTAATTCATTTTTTTTATTATATAATATACAATCAAAATAAGTTTATGAAAAAAATTAAAACTCAATTAAACTCTTAGAAGTTTATAATAGAGAGATTTGTTGTTATATTTTTTCGACAATTATTTTGTCTATTATATTGCGAAACAAATGTTTAATATTACAGTATAATACAGTGTAGTATTCAAACATAATTTTATAAAAAAAGATATTTTTTATGATAAAGTCATTGCTAACAAATGACAGTAAACATCAATCCACTTCTGTTTGTTTTATACTTTAAGTCTCTCTCTCTCTCTCTCTCTCTCTTTCATATAACTCGACATGAAATTAGCATAAAATTTGTCTCATGAGAACAGTACATACCTGAGCCAAAAAACATTAAATACACAGACTATAAGTGTGTGAATCAATAGCTCATTCATTCAATTGATAACTAAATAATTGCCTTTTTATGACATAATATATTATAACTAAACATTTGATATGAATTGATCTGTTCGTCAATTGATATAATTATCAATACAATAAACATAATAGTATGAAACCCCTATAATTTACAGATTATTTAAACTATAGAAAAATAAATTATTTTAAGATTTAATTAAGTTTTTATATATAAAAAATTAATTAAAAATTTTAAATTAACAACATGCTAAATAACTTTTATAATATAATTAAAAAATGACTTGTTTTGCTATTTAGATATTTAATTCAATGTTTATTATATAAGATAATTATTTTTTATGTGAATTGGTATTATGTTTATTGCATTTAATAGTATTTTATTAATTAATAACATTGCCTTTGCGATAATAACCAAAATTTTAATTAATTTAATTAAATTTTATTATATGTTATTTTAAATACTAAATTTATTTTTATATTACCTGTATATATGAAATTTATTGTTAGTTTTAGTTTTGTGTTGATTTATCAATATATTTGATTTGATAAAAATACAATTGCATACAAAAATTTAATTATTTTTTATTGAAATATTGACACTATTTTTAGAAAATGTGTTATAAATTTACTGTTTTTAGCCATTTATAGATAGTATGATAAAAATACACAATTTTATTAAAATTTAATCTGACATTTGTATTGAAAACAATCTAAATAATTAAATTAAATGAAACAAAACATTAATGTTTCCAAATTTAACATTTCCTAAAAGTGATTAAATTTATTATCAAGATAATAACACAATGGATAGCATTTTAAAATTAGCAAAAATAAAATAATAAAAGTATACAATTTATATCTACATTTGTATAAGGGTTAACAAACCACTAAATATATTATGGCTAACATTTAAAAAAATATAGTCAATCGTTAAATATTAAATAAATTTTATAGTCTATTACCAATAGATAATAAACATAGTTATACTAACGTTGTACTGAATAATTGTATAATAATAATATAAATATTGATAGTGTAATAAAATACAAACTAATGTTTTGAAACTAGTTTCTTGTATTAACAACTATTTTAGATATTTTATTTTAGATTATACAATGATGTTTTTAATTTAATTTAATATATTTTAATTGCGACTACAATTATGTATCATATCATCGTTTATTATAAAACAATACATAAAAATTAAATAGAAAAATTTTACTTTAAGACATTTTATAGTATTAAAAGTAAATATTTAATACATAATTTTATACAAAAAACACAATTAAAACATTTTTAAAATGTTATATTAAAATTAATAAGTAATTTGGTTAAAAAATGGTTTTCATTTTAGATAATTATCTACTATTCATATAAATAATTTTGCTACCGTTTTGTATAAATAGTGGTCGGACACACACACACACATTGTTAGATAATTTATGTAAATAAAACAATTTTGACTCAGTTTTCTCAATATATTAATGTTTGTAAATTACTTATATATTTATTGAAAATGCCCGGTAGTATGCAATTTTTGTTATATTAAATTGCCAATTATCTTTTTTTTTTGTTGATATATTACTACATATTATATAATAAGTTTTATTTAAGGTTAACCAATAACATACGGTTTTGCCTAAAAGTAATTTTGCAAATATTTTATTAAAAACCATATTTGTTGTCATGCCTTTCCCTTTATTAATCGCTCTCTCTCTCTCTCTCTCTCTCTCTCTCTCTCTCTCTCTCTCTCTTTTCTCTCTCTTTTTCTTTCTCTCTCTCTTATTATGAAATAAATTCCTGACTAACAAAAATATTTTTATTATATTTCTTTTCTCTCTCCCTTTTTCTCATGATTTTCATGAAAGAAAACGTGAAATATACTAAAAATATCTGATATAATATAATGAAAGCCCAAAAATATTTTGTTGTCTAAGTTTTTCAGTTAAGGTTAAGTTTAGAGAATGCTTTAGAAAAAAAAGACTAACGACTTACAGGAAATACATTTTTTTTAGACAAATCAATGGTTTAGTTTAATTCAATTTAAATATTTTACTTACTATTGAATAAGATTTAAATTTTGAATAGATCTTCAAAGCTATTAAATATTTAAAATGCAAACCAAAACTTATCTGATTTGGAAATCTCTATTTCACGGCATAAACTGTATGTATATAACTATAGTCTATCTTTGAGAAAGTAGTTGTGATTTATTGCTATATTATTATGTTATACGAAATGATTGAATATTTATGACTTCAATAGATAAGAGATCTGTGAATATGAAAAATAATTAATAGTAAAATAAAATAAAAACATCTTCTTTTGTGTTGCAATTCAAATACAATAATTTGTATTAAAATGATGAGAAAGAGAGCGTTTAGTATTATTTAAGTAATTTATAAAACGAAACTAATAATTAATTTTATTATTTTTATATCAATATTATTCAAGCGTGATGTCAATGTATAGATAATGTTGTTATTGCTTTTTATAAATATTTTTTTTATTAACAAATTGTGAAATAGTTTTTGTAAAATTGAATACACAAATTAACTATTGTAAACAAAATACTGGTATCAAACCGATTCACTATTTTATTTATATTTTGTTAAACAATTAATAATAAGTTACTATTCAAATACATTCACTCATATATTTTAATCAAATAGAAACCAATTATTTCTTCAAAGTTTTCCTAATAATAATAATATAATACGTTTTCATTTAGACAATAATCACACGATTTACGGATTAATTGTAAAATTAGGTTATTATTTGTTTTAAAACTCAATGTGTGTCCCAAATATGTTTGCAATTTATTTTCAATATCCATATAATTGAAATTATTTTTAAATTATAATCATTTTAGTAATGCCATCAAATAACATAAATATCTTTTTTTATATCATATCTATAATCAATTAGTTTACTATTTTAATATTTATTAGATGTTGTTTTAGAAAGATATCAATTATTTGACTTAAAGGCATCATTTAATATTTTTTAGATTTATATAATTAAATGCATAATAATGCCATTAAATATAATAATAACCCATGCAATATACAGTCATTAAACACCAATTATAGTAAACATCTACTTTTACCGCAAATTGTTTTATGAAATTAATTTATTTATTCAAAAACGTTATTCAATAAAAAAAATATATAACTAATAAAATATTAAATTAATTTAATTTATACTTTAAGGCAATAATTTGGATATTTTATTCAATAACTGTTCGTCATTGAAACACTTGGATATGATTGCTTCGGGAGGTTTTAACGCCCGAAATGTGATTAATAGATCACAATATCTAACAGTTCCGGTCAACGAACGTCTCATCCATTTGGTAGACATGACAAGTGCTGTCAGTCACTGTCAGATAGCTATTAGCAATTCATTCATCAATTCTGCGGTCTGTGTGGAGGTGTTGTCTGAGTCAGAGCTGGTATTATGTCTAATAAATGGCACAAAATATGCGCCAATTATTAAATCAAATTTCAGTTCAATACTCGAACAAGAATTAGGTTGTATTGAAACTAAAAACCATTACTTAAAGAACAGCATATTATCGATGTTTAAGCTTTTAAGTGATAGAAAGTGTGAAAACTTGAATAACGTTAACATCATATTAGCCCATCTGAAGCTCAACACAGATGGTGGTCCCGTAACAGTCAAAGTGGCCACTTGTGGTCAATGGATAAGTTTGCGTCAGGTGCCGCTTAATCAAAATTGTAATAATAATAATTGTAATCATCTTAATAATAGCAATCATAGCAACAGTAGCTGTAATAATAACAGCAATAATAATAATTCAAGTAATAATAGTAATAATAGCCGTTCGCCTAAAATTATAAACCTGTGCTCAAAGCCGTCAACAATAGATCATAATCACAAGCCTTTACTCAGAAGGAACTGTAGTATAATGAGACAACAGGAGAACGGATTCATTGGTGATCCCATTTGTCACGAATTGACTCTATCGGCAACCGATAATCGGGATCAGTGGGCGCTGTTGATGGGTATCAGTGTTGTCGATCACGAGGAGGAAGATATGATCCAAGAGTTGTTTGCTTCCAATAATTCAACAGCAAGTTTGATGACACTAACAGATAAACTTAAACGATATACAGAAGTCATAAATGCCAAAAACAATTACCTAAACAATTGCGATGATTGTGATAATCATTGTTTTGGAGCCAACTTTCTCGCGCTGGCTATTCATCGCAAATCATTGATTCACGAGAACAGGTCAGTCAACTAAAGTATATCATATAATTAGTGCCAAATGTTTTTCAAAAATGTTTTTTTTTCATATTAAACATTTACTAAAACAATATTTTTTATTAATTATGTTTAGAAAATAGAATAATTAAATATAATACTAAAATTATAATATTGTGTGATTTAAATTTAATACATTTTGCATGAATAATATTAAATTTAATTACAATATGTGTTAACGAAAAGCAATTATTGTTTTTTATATAACTGTTTATTAGATTTTTGTTTATTGATTGTGAAGATCTTCGATATTAAACATTATTTAAATACAAATGATTTGCAGAGAAAAACTAATGAATTTAAAATGAGTAACCATTTCCTTATGTTTGCATAATTTAATTTATATACTTATTTTGTTAACCTTTATGCTACTGAATAATACAGTTATCTGAGTGTTTATTACAACCAATTTATTGATATTTTATAAATAAAAAACAATAATTATGAACTTAGAAATAGTACAAAACAGTAGATAATACAAATTATAATAGTGTTTTTTAAAGTGGAAAAAATGATATTTGTAATGAATGACTACCAATTCATAGCAAACCGTGTTTCGTATGTCGATATCCTATTGTATGCAAAACTATTGTTAATTATTTGTATTACTTTAATATCTTACAAACAATTAGAAAATTCAATGGCATATAATTTATAATATAATCGGAAGCTATGCTAATTAGTAACACACAATATGTTATGTAAGCTTTATATGTGTTTATAAAAAACATTATTCAATGTATTGTATTTTTGGTAGTAAAAGGTTGTCAATATTTTTCATAATTTAGTTAAACTTTAAATTTTCTTTTAAATTGCAATATGCTTTGCATACTAATTACAATATACAGTAAGTTATAATCTAATTATTGTTTGTATTGTCTAATATATTGTAAATACTAATAACAAAATTAATATTTAAAATATAGGAAATAACTTAACATTTAAATGTTAACTAATGTTCAACTGATTGAATGTAATTTATTTTGTTTAATAGAAATATCATAACAAGCGGTTCCAGCAGTAGTGGTGAAGAGGATATGAGTCTACAATCGTCGAGTTGTAACACATCGGACACCAATGACTCGGAGCACTCGGAGAAGTACCGGAGCTGGGAATACATACTCGAAGAAAACCATAAATGTTTGTTCAGTAAAGAGTTGGAAGCACTGAAAGAGGTCGACACCAATAAGTTTGATAGCATATCAAGTCGTAAATATAAGTCTACTTCGGCACCAATTATTTCATTACAACAATTCATCACTACTTCCAACAAAAAATTTGATTCAAATGTTTTTAAAGTTTATAAAATTTAGTTATTTGTTTAAATATATTTAATTAAATATTTAATAATTTCAATATAATATCATATTATAATTTATTACGATATTTTAAATATAAAACTACAATAAAATAACTTTAAATAATATATAAATAGATTACAAATAATAGATAAATAAATATTTTAATTCAATTAATAAAGTTTATTAATATTATATTCAAATTAGTTTAATATTTACCATAATTTACGGCAATTTTTAACTCAATTACGTTTGTTATGAGTATTAAAATACAAACAAAACTTTATAAAAGTTCCAAAAAATTCAAACAAAAAGTTTCTATTATTAAAGTATTTATTATATTCATTGATATCTCGAAGAATAAACAAATTATGTCAACAAATGAAGACAACAAATGAAGACAACAAATGAAGACAAGTCATCAAAGGACCGACCGATTGATCCCGAAGTGGACGACGAGTTGTCTTCATTATTGTTGTTTTAAATATCATGTCTTTTATTGGGGTTTTCCCTCAAATTATGTCACTTTAAGACATATTTTTTTTGTATTTTAATGGATCTATTGATATAATATTGAATTTGATTGATAATAGAGACCATATATGTTGTCATTATTTTCATATAAATTGATGTCTTTTATCTTTAGGTGCTTTAAATGACTTCAATATTAAGCCCACAAATACTGATCCGAAAAGTGCTTTGGCGACCACATCTGTGACCACTTGTGATGATTTGATTAATAACAAGAAAATTATACCTGAATTGAGTGCTCCGGATGTTGGAAGTGATCCTTTCGATGATAAACTCAATGAAGATTTAGCAAAATTTGATGAAATGTTTTCGCCGCTCATTAACTCTGATCCCGAACTCAAAGAGCATTGGTCTCGACTGACAAAGTCGTGCGCCGAAGCGGGTTTGCACTTGAATTGGTTATCATATGTTAAGATAAACTAATTTTATGATTTTATTGACAGCCACTGCCAGTAATGAAGACGAGTTTCAACACTCATTACAGGAGACACTGAAGACTATCTCAGATAAGGCTCAGGCAGTGGTCGGAGAGGAAAACAATTTGTCAGAAGAAGAATTGGCAAGAATTTGGTCTAATCTGGGTATTGGAGCCGACGATGAAGAGAACGGTTCCAACAATTTTGCTAATTTGATGCCTTTGATGACTAATATGATGCAAAACTTGTTGTCAAAAGAGTTATTATATCCGGCACTCAATGAATTGGCAGAAAAGGTGATAATAATTGAGATTTTGTTTATAATTAGTGATTAAAATATATTTTCAAATAGTATCCGACATTTCTTAATGAAAACAAAGACAAATTATCAGCTGAAGAGCTCAAGAGATATACAAAACAGATGGAACTCATGAAAATGGTTTCAAAGTATTTTAAGCTAAAATTTATAACTGTAATGCAATTAATTATTATTAATTTCATGACTTAATTTAATTGTTGTAATTTTCTATAAATAGTCAAAAAATATCAACGGATTTATAAAACCGTTTATTTTTAAAGTTTTTGACTTTAAAAATAACATCTAATTATCAGAAAGATGGACGCCGAAGACATCCGACTGGCCAAAGCTAGACGAAGGTACAGAAAACTCGAATCACATGTCGATGCCTGTCAAGAGAAAGACATTGAACTTAATGTGGATCTTATACAAGCAAAACAACAGGTGGAGGACAAAATTCAATCAATTGTGGACAACAAAGACGATATCATCGAAACGCAAAAAAAAATGCATCGTTTGGCTTTGAAATACGGTGATGATATCAAAGATTGAACAAAAATTCAGAAATTTTAAATGTTTAGATTTTTTTGATTGAATTTTTGTTATATTCAAAATTGATTTCAATGAAAAATAAATAAATTTTGCATTTTTTTGGTCATAAATGTCTATTTTATTAATAATAATACTTTTATAAAATTGATACCATCGATGGCAACATTTAACTCAAGTCATCACCAGTCAGGAGGTGTTGTCCTCTTTGCCGGTGAACTCATACTTCTGTACGTCGATAAAGTGGACATTCAGTTTGATAACAAGTCATTGAATGTAAGTAATGTCACCATTAATTGGATCCAATAAGACATGAATTAAATGATTTATTAATGAATTGATGTGAATATCTTCAGTCCGTCGGTCGACTCTATCTAACGACTCATCGGATTGTTTTCACGAGTGGTTCTAATAATCAAAATATGCGGTCATTTTCGGCTCCATTTTACGCCATATATGACCTGTCACTCGAACAGCCGGTATTTGGCGCTAATTATATTAAAGGAAAGGTCAGACCCGAGTCACAGATCGATGGCCAGAATGGTGTGACGTTTAAGCTTCACTTCAAACACGGCGGTGCCATTGAGTTCGGTCAGGCTATGGATTCAGCGGCCAAACAGGCCTCGAGTGTGGCCCAAAACATGCACTTCCAGCCGCCGCCGCCATACACGACCACTGCTGGACAATACTATGAGGTTTTGTTTAGACTTTTATTTAATAATTTAAATGATATTTTGAGTGCAATTTCTGTCATTTTATTTATAATTAATTGTATTTCATGTGATGATAGGCACCGCCGTCTGTCTATCAACCGGCCTATAACTGTGGCTTTGCTTTACCGACTCAAGTATTTTCGACACCACCTCCGGCTGGTTTTATATACACAATGGAAGCGCCGCCACCCTATCCTGGACTCAATACAGCCCCACAACAGTGCCCGGCATATAATCAAATGGCGTTTCCCGCTTATGGACAGACACTGGCCGGTGATCCGTATCAAGTGTACCAAAATGGCAATGCATCGGCTTCGGCGCCACCATTGGCTCCACAACCGGCCGGTTTTGCGTTTGGCAATGAAAGGCCACCAACTTATGATGAGGCCATTAAAAAACATCAATAATTGACTACTAATTGCAGTTTTTTATTTTATTTTATTTTAACTTTTTGAGTTTCAAAACTCGGCACTGATTTTTAAAAATTATTATTACCGATAATTTGATATTTTTATATATTATAATATATGAATATTTTGATTATTTCATATTAAAGTGTTTAGTGTATTAATTGTATTAAATTAACAGTCTATTTGCCGGCAATTATTTGAATAATATGCATATAATGTTTGCAATATATAAATACATTATTATTGAATATAAACACTAATGTTATTTTTATACAAACTTTAAAAACTATTTGATTTACAATTATTTATTTTAATTTACGGTAATATTATAATATAAATATAATAAATTTATAGTTAATACTGTATAAACTTTATACTATAAAGTATATTACGATAATATTTACTATTTATTGTGTTATCTGATAAAACAAATTACATTTTCTTTAATTTGATAGAATATTATATAATTTTTATATTTTCTATTGATGTAAAGTTTATATATTTGTGATTTAAACAATTAATTAATAAAATGTTATTACTTGTAATCCTTAATTTAATCTTTAATTACTAGAAGTGTTAAAATCAATAATACAATTAATTGATAGATTTAATAATCTCTATAAAGATATTACCTGTTATTGATACTTATTTATATATTCAATACATAATGTAATTCTACTATAGTTTACATCATTTATTATTTAGTATGTAATACAATATTACAATTAATAGTACAGATATTATACCAATAATAATTTGATTGTTGTTTTATCATTTTTATTACAATATTAGAAATAATTATTATAAAGAAAAGTACATTTTCCGTACAAATTGAAAAATTGAGGTCAATTTTCAAGTAGAAAAATACCTAAAGGCAAGCATTTTAGGTCATACCTCCCGTCCACTTATAAATGAACACCAATACCACTAGAAATAGCTCCGGTTTGTAATACAGACTATGTATTTAAAGTTTGTATATAATAATCGAGTACCCAGAGGTAGACCTATCTCTCTCTCTCTCTCTCTCTATCACTACACACACATACGCACTCACTCACTCATTCATTCAATCTCTCACTTTCCCACTTAAAGAGATAAATACAAAGAGTTACACACATTAGACTTTGTACTAATTTAGTGTCAAATATTATATCCATTAGGTCTTAATAATTAACTAACGATTCAAAATATTTCATTAAAATATATAGCATTCAATAGTCAAATATTTGTATTTAATGCTAACTCCATATACATTGGTAGTAGTGATGGACAATATAAGTTATAAGGATCTTATAACAAAAATCATTTCTAAGTGCTATGCGATGGTAAATGTTATCAATTATAAAAAAGAGTAAATACTTTCTAAGCCGAGTCCTAACCTTTGAGCTAACTGTCCCAACACCTAATTTACAGCCTTGAAATTCAGGTATTAAAAACATGTTTAATATCTATTATATATATTTTTTTAAATTATGTTGAATTTTGTTTGTTGATTCAATTTTCCTAATTTAGCCCTACATTTGAGTGCAGCAAAAAACAAGTGTTATTTAAGTTCATTTAGTTTCTCTCTATTTATTTCTCAGTACTATTTAAGGGAAACTTATTTAAAACATTTGATTTGCGGTTCATTTTTTTTTTGGCTGAAACTCGACTAAAAAGAGAGTCACTCAGTCAGTGAGTCTATGAACAGGTAGTTGTTTTGCTATGAGTATGTGTTTGTATGAGAGAGTGAGTGCATGTGAGTGAACGACAAGTAGTTCCTCCACATCAGTATTAGATAAACAGAGAGAGAAAGAGAGAGAGAGAGTTAAAGGTAAAAGTTTTATCATTTGTTGAGACAAAACAAAAGTTGAGAAAACTTTGTGAAAAACATCGCTTTTTATTTTAAACTGATCAGTAGTTTTTGATTTTAAACTTTTGTTTAATCTTAAGTAAATATCTGATATAAAATTGAAAAATCATATATTATTTGTTGTGTGGAGTGTCGTATGGAAAGATACCAACAAATCTGGATAATACTTTCCCATAAAATAATACATTTAAACAAATTTCATATGTGATATACAAGCGCTTTCTGACTGTCTGTCATACAATTATACTGTCCCTCATCTATCAGTTGGACAACTGTTTGGGTGTTTGTTTCAATCTATTGGTTCCTTTCATTACATTTAATCAACAATTGTGTCCATCACTTGCTAAACAGTGAGGATGTCATTTGTGAACATGCAATCAGCTGTATCACCCTTTTTGACTACTGTTGTCCAAACGTGTCGCTATTATTATCACGACGTGTGGCAAATCAATGGTGACCCCCGAGTGGCCAAATATGCATTTTTCGAGGGCGGCCCGTGGTCTACGCTGGCCATGATTAGTGCGTATCTATATTTCATTAAAGTTATTGGACCCGAGTTTATGGCTCAGAGAAAACCATTTGATCTGAAGAAGACTATACTGGCATATAATATATCAATGGTTATACTCTCCGCCTGGATGTTCATTGAAGGTCAGTATACTATCACTTGAAAAGTATAGTAATTATTAGTCAAATAATATTTATTACAATTATGAATAGTTAGTATAAATATGAATACTTTATTGACTACTCAGTGTAATCAAAGTAAAACAGTTATATATTATGTATGTATAATATATTATGCAATTCTTGATATTAAACCTAAATTATTATAAATGTTTGCCGTTTTTTTGCGAAACATTACCATACATTTAGCTATAGTTGATATACTATGACAGGGTTTTTATGATAAACCATTGTTTGTTAAAATCAGATATCATTCGTTTTTTTTATTGTTCAACGTTTAATTTGATGCTATTTTTTAAATTATAATTAATTATTAAGAAATCTCTAAAACCAAAATTTTTTAAACCTATTGTCTTGTTATATAAATATATAAAAATATTTCTAAACAAATATCAAGTTGTCCTCATAAAATATAATAGACAATATATATATATATAAATAACAAAATTAATTTTTTATATTTTTATTGTAAAAATAGTTTTAAGGAAAGTTATCTGTAAATAAATATTTTTGAGGTTTTTTGAGAAATTTATTAGCAGATTAGTTGCATAATAATTCCATATTATTTTTTAGTTTATAAATTTATTTGTTAAATCTGTGAAAATATATACAACAATAAATAAAAAAAAATATTTATATACTTTTATAGTTTAATCTATTGAATTGTACTGTATTGTATATGTTTAATATTAGTTGTAATTATCAGATAAAAGGCTAAGAAATGTACAAAAAAAAGATTGAAAAGACGCTCAAAATACTGTATTCATTCATAAATACAAATAAAGTTTGCAATAGTATTAAAAATTGAATGAAAGATGAATTAAATAAAAAATACTAAAAAAATAATAATAATAACCCATTTTGTAATAACGTACAAAACATCTTAATAGCAATTTTTAAATGCTAATCATCAGTTATTATCACCAAATAAAATGAAATAACAAACAAATAACAAATGCAACAATATTTATAAAAAATATATAGTATTTTATTTTTAAATAGATTTATTAAAACCTCAATGAATACAATTATTAATTCATTGAATATAAAAGAATGATTGTGTAAATCAAATGAAATGAAAATAAAAGATTTATGTAATGAATACATGTGTAGTAATAATGAATTAAAACCCTAAATAAGTCAAATATTATGACAACTTTTGAATTATTTGCTAACATTTGAATTAAAAACTATAGGTTTTTTCCTATTGAACTACGGATTGGACACTTGGGGCTGTCAAGTGGTTAACTCAGCGCAAACTGACGCCCGAGAGATGAGGAAACTGTTGTTGGGATGGCTTTTCTTTATCACTAAATTCATTGAGTTCGCCGACACTGTATTCTTCATACTCCGCAAAAAGACATCACAGGTGTCGACATTGCATGTCATACATCACGCTTTGGTACCATTACTGGTATGTATTTTGATTTTTTGTTTAAAACTTTTGAATATTTGTTTAATTATTTTTTAAAATCTTGTTATAACATAAAAAAATTCATACAATCCAATCGATATACAGTACAGTATTTATAATTTATATATTTGAATAAGTAGTGTGTATTGACTTAGCCCTTAGAAGTTTATTTGATTGGTAATTGCCATCACTAAATACAAACACAATTAACACATACATACATACAATACAAACAATTGTTTTTATTGATAATACCAATAATTAATAATACAATAGTGACACAATGCACTTAATACCCATATTATTTGGCACAGGTATGGATCGGTTTTAAGTTTGTGCCCGGGGGTAGCAACGCTTTTTTCCCATTAATAAACTCATTGGTCCACACAATTATGTACTCCTATTACGGTCTGTCAGTGTTGGGCCCAAGGATTCAACCCTATCTTTGGTGGAAAAAATATTTGACGCGCTTTCAGATGATTCAATTTGTATTAATTATATTAAACTCATTGCGCCTCCTATTCCTACCCCAGTGCCAGTTCCCCAAAGCCTTTATTTATTTAACAGTATTTAACGGTTTCCTATTTTTAGTATTATTTGGCGGCTTTTACCGTCAGGCATATAAAGGAAGGCATAATAGCACTGTTAGAAATAAAAGTGATTAACCACTGGTTTTATAATAATTTTATTTATATTGATATATTTTTTATATAAAATTTTTATATAGAGTTGTCATATATTCAGAAAAATTATTAATTGTTATACAAATACATTACGCATTACATATATAGACTATTGTTTTTAAAAAAAAACAAATATACATTCAATCATGTATTTTTAAATAATATTTTTATAAAAACCTATTTTTATTTTTTCAAGTTGTTAGTATTTTAATTATTAAATATAATAATAATAATAATTAAATATAATTTGTTATCATTTCCTAAAAATTACCGGTAAGTTTAAATTTAGTTATAAAAACCAAAAATAACAAAAAATTGTAAACCAAATATCAAATATCAAAAAGTAAAAATATAAATAAAAACAAATTTTAAAAGATTTATTATAATTTTTAATTAGTTGATAGGATGTCGCAACAAACACATCATACATTAATAACAATAAATTACTAAATAATAACTTGCAATCAATAATAATATTATTTAAAACAGTTAAATTTTTAATAAAATTAAGACCTCATTGAATTTGATAGACAACTATCTAAACGCCTCTATAATTATTGTTATATAATATTATTATTGGTTTATTGTTTACAAAATAGTTTTAGTCAAATGAAAGACAGAGATCTTAACCCTATTTAAAAGGTTGTATTCAATCATAACTACATTTTTTATCGGACCATTCAATAGACAATCGTTTATAATATTTGCTATATATTATAGATATGAGAGCTTTAAACAAGGAATTTGTTTGTTATTTTTACAATAAGTTATTTCTATTTATAAAACTATATATATTTAATAAAAATAAACTTTAAATATATTAAACAATAGAATATTTTTTTCTGGTAATAGATTTGATATTTTACTGTTACTGTTGTTTTGTTTTTAATATTTACTGTATATTAAAAATAATTTAATAAGTCATATAACTGTTTTGATTAATGATAAAGATTGTGAACTCAAATAAATTTTTTTAATTGTAAACACTGTTGGAGTTTTGAAATTAAAAAATATAATTTTACAAAACAATAAGCATTTAATTTTTTTTATAAATATATGTGTATTTTTATGTTTGTGTTATTTTTGTTTATTGTCACATATATAACTAAATATATGGTATATCTGTATACAACAAAAGCATTTATAAATAACTAGATTTTAAAGTAAAAATATAATTAATTACAATATTTCCAAACAATTTTATCAAATAACAAAAAAATAACACGTCTATTTTTAATATTTTAAATAATTATCATATTTTGTTGTTAAACAATATTTTTTAATTATAATTAATATTTAATTTTTAATATTATTTGCGTATTATTTGCGTTATACTGTACTTTATACAGTATATGCGCTACTGTATAAATTTTAACTTAATATCAATTTAAGGGAATAAATAAGTTAAGACACATATAATACATAGACATTAAAACGTTTTAATAATAACGATAATAATTTTAATACAACAAACTTTTTTCTCGAAATGTTTGTAGTTTTGTTGTAAAATTTTTATAGAAAATATTTATATATATCGAAAAGTTATTGAAAAATATATGAATAAAATTTTTAAAACAATGTTTACAATTTTTGTTTGATTGTCAAAAATATACTTAATTAAATACTATGAGATTGTGAGCAAAATAAATTAAAAAATATATAATAATAATTTATTCAATGATTTTAATTTCAAAACAAGTCTAAACTTGCCCTAAACTAATATTATATTAATATGTATTAACTTTTATGTTACATATTTATGGCGTAAAATCTATAATTTTCATTAAAAGTGATTTTATAAATATTATTTATTTCTTAATAAAAGCTATCAATTCTTGCATTAATTTCCTCTAAAATATAGTTAATATAACATTTATTAATAGAGTCAATGAGTCAGTAAGCAATTGAGTCCATACGTGAGAGAGAGAGAGAGAGAGAGAGAGAGAGAGAGAGAGAGAGAGARAGAGAGAGAAAGAGAGAGAAAGAGAGAGAGAGAGAGAGAGAGAAACTAATTGTAAACTTCTGTACACTAAATTTGCAACACATATCATATAAATAATTTTAAAACAAGTTTTGCTTAAAATTTTGGATAAAAAATTAATCTTAAAATTTAAACACAGAAAAAGTATTAATAGAAAGAGAGTGTTCTCAAAAATGTTTTACTTAAACTCATAGATATAAATGTATATATTTATAACATAAGTTATAACGTATTATACAATAATAGCTAAGTTTGTAAATAACGTCTAATTAAAGTGGGATTTAAAAATCAGGTTTAATGTGAATATATTATAGATTAAAATCAACGGAATCGAGTTATTATTATTATTAATATATTTTAAATTTATGTACAAATTTATAACATTTTAAATGTCCAACAAATCACTTTCTTAATTACGAGTTATTAATAATCTTTATAATAAATTTTAGTTATTTAAAATTTGTTATTGAAATAATAGATCAATTAATGTTAAATAAATTGTATATTTAAAATAAATTTATCTAAATGTATTAAGCATTAAAGTGTCAATCAATCAAAAATTTATAACTAAAACTAAATTTATTTGATTTAATTTTAAAAATTAATTTTAAGTTTATATGCTTTAATAAACATTGAAAATTGAAATAAAAAATGATATGTCTGTCCTTTAATCATAATTTAATAAACGATTTTATTATATTCAAATAGATAACGAATTATATCAAATATGTATTTTAATTATCAAAGTTTTGTTTAAATTCATAAATATAAAAAATAATTTTTATTAAAAAACAACAAACAGTGAACAAATAACATTGAATTAAATATATTATTTCACATGCCATTCAAATTATTTAAAATTTAAAAAATAATTTGGAATTTAATTAATATTTTTTATATATTTATTGTTTTCAGAAATATTCTTTAAATTTTAAAACCCGATTGACTTTTAATTAAATTAAATTATATTTTATTTGTTTTCACATATTTTTTTAGTTCACTTAATTTCTCAAGAAATTACTGTTAATGTAATTTATATCTCAACAAGAGATGGGCAAATCGAAATTTCTAGTAAATTTCTATAGAAATTTTACTTTATTATTACACTATGGGATCCCCATATCTCTTATTAGTGTAAATGAGGCAATACTGTACATATATAGTATATATTATATACTATTCAAATGGGATCCCTATATAAAAAAATAATTATAATTATAGTTTTATAAAATTTTATTGATCATTTAATTATATTTATAGTTTAATTTAATTAAAAAGACTAATTTTTACTTTTTAATAATAATAGTATTTAATTATTAATTGTAATCACAATGTAACTAATATAGAGAGACCAAAATTAAAATGTAGATCCCATAGACAGAAACTTTCTAGAAATTTTTCTATTATTTTAGAAATTTCTTTTTTTGTCAAAACTAATCTCAACAAAAATATGAATTAAAAATATATTATTAATTGTTGATAAATGAGTATATTATATACAATAGCTTATTGTCTATAAGTATTGATAATACAATGTATTATTTGCTGGATATAAGTAAAATAATAATCTTAGCTATAAATACAGTGTTTCCTTCAAATAGTTATCAAATAAAATGACATGTAATTTGAACCCAGGATTTGCACTCATTTCACAATTATTATGATATACTTATAGACTGACAAATGATTACTTGTATAAACAGTAATACATTGAAGACAACATTCAAGTGAATGACACAAATAATAAAATTAGCGAAAACAGTGATAATGGGTTCAAAACCAGTATTGATAACAATAATGTCAATAAAGTGCAGAACTGGTCCATAGATAGTGAGTATTATAGGACTCACTATTTGTCACAAATAGCACTTTCACCTATAATTATCATCAAAAAAGTGCTTACATATATGGCTATCGATTATTTGCTTATTATGTTATTAACATTTAATAAAATGTTTTAGATTAGTTATCAAATATATATACAGTATATATTCTATACTTGTATATATAATTTTGTGATCAACCCTTTAATTAACGCTAAATTTTATGATACTATCAGTGGTTAGCATTTGATATGCATTTTTGTTATTGAAATTAGCATTTGATTCCGAAATTTTAAATATTAGACTCTATATGATCTGTTACTACTATAGTTGTGGACATATAAACAATTATTGCCATACAGTAACACATTTCGGGACAATTCCTGTGAACGGTTGGCCTCATTGGGTATTGGGTTTCATAACCTAATAGAGAGACTATGCCTTCAATTAACACCACCTGAACGGCACTTAAGACTTGCGAAATCTAACGCCAGAAATGTTTGAAAAAGTTTTAAAAACTATTAGTTAATAACAACAATAGTTGTAAAGTTATAATCAAATGAAATGAGCCGTCAATTTGTAAATAAAAAGTACAAATCAATCGACAATTTAAAGCAAATAATTTTTTTTCGGTCATATGTTTATATATTAGAAATGTTACACTAAATTTTCAAAATTAATATTATTGGTAGTTTTCAGGCTTATAAACTAATTAAGTTGTAGTTATAGTTTACTATAACAATCACTCGATTATAAAATTCAATTAATTCAATACAAAAATCATTAAAATTTGATATTAAAGTAATTTTTATCATGTAGTGTCCCATTGGAAAAAGCATTTAACAGTTATGCCATATAATTGAACTAAATATATATATAAATACACAGTATTTAATACAATAATAATTTTCAGCTTTATTTTGATATATAATTTATAAATAAAAGCAATGAATTGATGTCGAAATGTGTGCGAAACAAGAAAATCAGGAAAAGTTGCGGTTATTTATAGTGCAGTCGAGAGTAAAGTTATTTTAGAGTAAAAATTGTATTAAAAAAAACTTGAAATAAAATATAACGAATAAAGCATTTAAATAAAGACTGAATTTTTAAATAAATCAAACAATATTTTTTGCCAAATATGTGTTTCATGCGTTTAACAATCTATTATCTGATAAAATTTGCCATTTGATGTCCGCCTATATAATATTTTTTCAACAAAAATAGCAAATATTTACATAAATTTTATCTATTAGTATTCATTATAAAATTTCATTACAAAAAAATATCACTATAATAATAATGTTTTTTAAATGTTAATTAAATTACATAATAAATAAATTAGCAAAATTTTGTACAATTGTTTCACTTTTATATTATCATTTATATAATTTTAAAAACTAACTAAATATGCCAATAAAATTTGCTAAATTGTAATAAAATAATAAAGATAACTAAAAACAGTTTGCAATAAATATATAATAAAAATATATATATTTATTTTAATATAAAATTTTTAATAAAACATCAAAATAAGTAAAACTATTGAAATACTAACTCATATAAACTGATTAATTTTTATTAAATAAAATCTATTGAAATAAATGAAAAATATTTTAATTTATAACTAACAAAAAAAATTATAGTAAACATAATGTATAATCAATTTTATTTAAAAAACAATTACAAAATTTTGCGATAAACCGACTAAAGATTAGACGATAATCTTTTGTGTAATGAGTTAATGTGTTAAATGAAAAAATCTTTATATTTTATGATATAATGATTGGGTTAACATTTTTATAGTACTTTTCTTGTTGTTATTTAGTCACAAAATAAAATATAATAAGAAATATACATAAATAAAAATTTATTTTTAATATATGTTATATAAAGTAAAACTAAATTTGCAAATTAGATACAATATAATTAATGAAAAATAATACTAGTAATGAATAAATACTAACACAATTAATCGTAAAATTGCATAATAAAGTCATTAAAATAATTGTAAATTTTAGCATAAATATACCGTACAAATACAAAACTGTGCAGTTTTGAGATGTTTTCAGATATTAAGGAAACTAAAAATATTTTTTTATGGAAAAAAATTACTAAAATAAGAGATATTATAAAACAATCGTAGAAACATTGGTTAAAAATACATACATTATGTATATCCAACTAATGGACAGAAAAATATTAATTTTATTACTGCAATAAATTTAATTTAAACGGAAATTTAATTAAACAAACCTAAAGATAAGTAATAAATAAATAATAATAAAAAACAAGTGATTAGATTGGTTTCAATTATGAATTTAATATGCTTTACTTCACATACATATCAAAATCAATTATATTAATTTTAAAATTATTATTATTATTATTAATTTTGCATCCGATACTTAATATTCGTTTATGAAATAATTTCAAGTAAATTAATTTGTGATTATAATAATTTACAAATAGAAAACGTTTTTAATCAAATACATAAAAAATTGTTTTAATTAATGTAATTAAATAATATTAAAGACACAAATATTTTATGTTTTTTTTGTTGTTTGTTATAATATGTTAACATAAATTAATTTGTTATATTAATAGTCAAACTATTAAAGTATCCGGATATTCATGTTCACCCATTACAACACAAATAAACAGCAATAATGATAAAATATAATAATAAACATATAAACAAATAATTTAACTAAGATTTATTATTAATAGTATTAAAAATTAAGTGTATAATATCATCGATGACTGCAATATAGAGTATAACAGGTGAACAACGAGTATATAATCTCAAAAAATTCATTTATAAATAACTTTATGCATAAAACACAATCAAATGAATAAAATCTTTTCTAAAATACATGTATTAATGACAATCATTTTCAGCAAAAACAGCGATTCACTTAATTATATATACTGTATATATATAAAAGTTTTCTTACAAAATAAATGATATTCTCTTATAATAATGATTTTAATAACATAAACAAAATTAATGAAATATATTAATAATTATTTGTCTATAAATTAAAAAAAAAAGTTTCATTCCCTATAAATTTGACAAAAATATTTAAATAATTATAAATCAAAATATATAATTACTTTATTACAAAACGGTATCAAACTCTCTCTCTCTCTCTCTCTCTCTCTCTCTCTCTCTCTCTCTGACATTCAATATCAATCATCAATTACACACAAAATGTAATTAAAAATACAAACATAATATCAAATATATAAATTGATCGCAAAATTACTTTATATAACATGTCTATCATAATATACTATAAAAGCTTTTACATAAAAAAATTTTCCTACAAAATCGTCTAAATTTAAACAAAAAAAAAGAAAAGAAATAAAATTATTAATTACGTAAAAGCAATCAATAGTTTTAATAAATAATAGTTTTTATCTGCTTTGTTATCATCAGTGATTCAAAATAATTAAATCAATATAAATTTTTAAAATAATGAAAAACAAACCATTAATAAAAATACAATTAGTGTTTATGTCATTTATAGCGGAAAATGAAGTGAAAAATAATTTGCAAAAATATAAATAATTAAAACTATATTCAATAAAATCGGGTTTCGGGTCATTAGGATAACTGTCCTAAGCGTGAGTTAGAGATGTCTATCCAAATAGTGCCGAAAATATATAATACAATTACATAATAATATTTAATAATAACTTGTAAACAATTAGATCGACAATTGTTATCAAACAAAAACTTTGGCCAAAGCGTCGGCACCGCCGGAAGCAAAGTAAGGCCTACTCGGATGAAATGTCACATCAAATATCGCTTCGTCAAACTTCTTGCGATGTGATGTTATCTCCTGAACACAGGTTCTGCTGTCAAAGTTCCACAATCGGACACTACAGTCATGACCTGTCAAACAAATCATTAATCATTTATTAAGGCAATTGTTGTCAACATTTATATTAATTTCTTAATAAACTATATGTATATCGAAAGCAGTTATTTTTTATGTCATAAATTATCAATAGTTCTAACCATAAATTGATTTATGTAATAAACTAAACAATATATATATATATATATATCTAAATATTTGTAAAAAATAATTTATATTTATTTTATAAAATATTTTTCAATTAAAATATATTATTTAAACTCAAAACTATAACTATTAATAAGTCTTATAATCGCTTATAAGTCATAAATTGTATTATTAAACTCAACTTTAAAGTCAATTAAATTTAAATTATGTGTCATTTCAATTACGTATAAATTTAATAATAGAAATATAAATTATAAAATCCATTGTAAAATTAATATTAAGAATTAGTATTTTACTAAAATCATAATTATGTAATAAATTATAAATAAATTAAATATTCAACTAAATGCTAAAGCTAAAGGGTTTAAAAACATTGAATAAAAAACAAAATATAAATTTAGTTATAATTTAAATGCTTAGATTTAACCTATAAAACGTAATCTACAATAATAAAATTAAAAAATACATCGCAAACTTATGCGTGTAAACATTTATACATTGTATTATTTTTTTATATAAATTAACTTATATTTTAAATAAGAAATAATGTCATTTAAAAAATATTATGTTATTACTATTTTTTAAGTACTGTATTACAGTTATAATAAAAAAAAAAATTAACTAAAGAAATAACTTAATAACTTACGGTAATAGAAAAATAGAAATTTTAAATATCAATAGTAATGCAATTTTTTTACTAAAACTTATTGTGGTTTTTTATTTGACGATTAAATTAAAGTATAATTTTATGAAATCATTTATAGCTAAATATAAAAAATGTTGACTTACTTCCACTTAATAAATACAGTCCATTGGGATCACAGGCAAGACATGTAACTTCATCTAAATGGGCAACCATTGCGTGAATACATTTACCTATTAATTGTTTAAAATATAAAAAATAAATTAGTAAATAAAAATTTGGTTCAATTATAGGTACGTGTAATAGAAAATTTTAAATAACATCAATCTTATTACTATATAATGTTTATATGACATGAAAATAAGTGATCAAATGCTTACCACTATTGATGTCCCATAACTTGATCTGTCGGTCTTCATGAGCACTGACAACAACGGGCATAGTTGGGTGTACGGCAATGGCATTAACTCTTCCCGGAGATCCCGACTCAAATGTGAGCACTGGTTTTGATTCACTGGTGGCCTCCAAATCGTATAAACAGATCGAGCCATCTGTGAGTGAAGCGGCCAATAGTGATGGTGATGTAATGTCGTTGCTATTATTATTATGTGGTGCGACCGCAGCCAAACATGTTGGCCTTAAGCTCCCTGATTGCAGATAAACACAATAATAATTACATACAGTAATACTGGTTTTGTTTTGATTAATAAATCAATTGATAATACCTTCTAAAGTAATGGTTTTAGCACAATGAACACGAGATGTGTCCCAAATCTTTATTGTTTGATCAGAAGCTGCCGAACATAGTATAGGTGTCGGAGATGTGGAAGAAGGTATGGCCACCAAAGACCAAATGGCATTCGCGTGAGCATTCAGTTGACATACTTGAAGGCTCATATCAAACGCGTCATATGGATCTATATTTGCTATATTTGCCGGTATTGACCAAATCATAAGCTGACCATTTTGTGCGCCCGAGTATATCGTATTATTATTGACGGCTAACGATAATACTCTTGATGTGTGACCTCTATATGTATAGACTGGTTCTAAATCAAATGTTGTTCCGCCAGTTGGACCCGTGGGCTGTTGTTGTTGTTTGCCTTTAAAAAGTAAAAAACAAATTAGCCGTAAGTTTTATAGTAATAAAAAAATATTAAACAAAAAGACATACCTTTATTTGACTGTTGGGTTTTGTTAAGATTCCATAGTTTGATCGTCTCATCTTCAGAACAGGTAATCAATAGTGGTTCGGATGCATGAAATCGGAGACATCGGACACAATCAAAATGTGATCTTTAAAATAAAAAAAATAAATTAATATTTTTTCATTAATTATAATTACCGTTAATTAACATATTTAATAATAAATTTAAACATTATTTTTAAAAATTAACTTAGCTATCAATCATTATTAAAAACAATAACTTTTAAACTAAAAATATAGGTACAGTAGTAAAACTTGTTGTTGTAGTTGTATAATCAAAACAAGTTATTGATATTTAAGTAAATTTATTATTAAATGCAAATATAATCAATAAGTCTTACTTAAGAATGTATTTAGGATTCCATGTCTTTCTAAATTCTGTATTCATTTGTGAGTTAACAGTCGAACCATTCATATCTGATTCATTGGCAACAGTAAGTGCTGCCAACTCTCCTATATCGACCACATCCTTACCAGAACCTAAAATTTTGTATAAAAACATAACATTTATAACAATTTTAATTAACCATTAATTAAACAATCGTCTCAACAATACCTGGTCTACCCCAAGGACTGCCATCCTTTTGTTCACCACCGGAATGAGCTGATAAAAAATCAAATTCGGCCAATACTTCTTCAGTTTCAGAATCAATAACATAAGGACCTGAACTTCGACTGTTGTCTATATCTTCACAACTTTCTTCTTCCTCTTCTTCTTCTTCGTTGTCTTCTTGATTGCGTCCATCTCTCTGTTCATTAAGAAATTCAAAAGTGGCCAAAACGCTGGCCTCGGCATCGGCCACGATTGCTTGTTCCGGTTTCCACCGATCAGTTTCACGTAGATCTCGTCTTCCTAATCGTGTCTTATAGTTGTCAACAGTTGTCTCATTGAGTTTCCTATTAACGGCATCACCCGTGTCCTGACCGACGGTTTGTGACTCATCTAAACTGGTATTCAATGTTAAGCCTAACAAACTTCGGACTCGATTGGATCGGACATCGATTATGGTGTCTGTATAACCAATCTCTTGCAAATACTGCCGTAATAATTGTCTTCCCTTTTAGACAAATTACAAAATAATTAACAACAAATTAATACCATTATATGTCTAATTAATTTTTCTAACAAAAAATATAAATATTCAATTTATGGTTATGTTTAATAGATTTTTAATGAATATATAAGAAATGATATTAAAAAAAAATGTTAATAAATTTTAGCAAATTTTTTAAAGTCAAAAAAATGATTGAAGCGTGACTTTAAGTCATGAAATATTTATAAAAGTTTCTTCAAATCATTGAATAAATTAAATGATAAATAATAACAAATAAGAAAAAAGTTTAAAGAAGAAAAAAATAAAAACATTTAAATACAATAATAAATGAAATTTTTGTAATTATATTACAGTAAAGATTATGACATTAATTCAAAATACAATACAAAAATGTGTTAATTTGTTTAAATTCATGTCATTTGAGAAATACAACAAAAAATTGATAAATAGTTAAAGTGAACGATAGGGTTACCGATAAATAATCAAAACAAGACGTATGCAACAAATACCTGTTTCCAGTTGACCGACGATTGTCCGCCGGAATCGCTCATCAGTGACTCTTCTAAGTCTGAATTGAGTTCTTTGAGTTCATCATTAGTTGTGGTCATATTTGGCGGATCGCAACCAAACTTTAACTTATGATATTTGGCTCTTTCTTGTCTCAGACAGTACTCTAACATTTTGATACGTCTGACCAAATCATTCTTCAGATTTTCCTGTCCTTTCCTCTCTCCCTGAAGYAGTGCTATACGTGCCTGTAGTTCAGCCCTTTCCACCTGTTCAGAGGGACAGTCGGTTAAAACAATAGTAAACATATAAAAAGATGACATCAAAATCACAATAAATATCAATCAATGTAGTCATCAGATAGTGAGCACTGGTATGCAATGTATTGATGGCATTCAATGTTGACATTTGTGTGATTGAGGTGTGTCTACAACTGTTTGGTTCATATCATACCTCCCACTGTTGTCTTTGTAGTTCAAACCGTTGCCATTCATATTGCAAATAGTGGACAATACCGGGTATGGAGTACGTCGGTTGACTGGTCGTGGGCTGAGCTCCCGGTGACTGATTGTTGGCCACTTGCGGTGCCATTGAGTTGACTGACGATTGTGGGCCACTTTGAGTCTGTTGTTGAGCGGGTAGTCCATCGTTAAGTTGGTCGTGTGTTTGGCCATTGGTCTGGTAATTGATGTTAATGTTTGTCCGTTTGTTGGCCGGACTCGACTGTGAGGACGCATTCATGGCGTCCATTGTGACAACCGATCAATACTTAACAAACTTCGATAGTATCGATACCATCGATAGCTTTGTTTATATACAGTATGACACTCGCTATACATACAGTCAAACCAAACAACTATTTACAGTCTATTCATATATTAGTAAATGTTTTAAATGTTTAGACTTTTAGTTGACTATTAGAGTGACAGCTGTGACGCCATCTCTGGGATTGGACTATAGGTTAGCATATATTTGATAATATTTTTAATCAATAGACTAATTATTATAATAATAATTAATATTATGAATCAATTTGTCAACAATTTGTGATCATTTTATAGTATTTTCAATATTAATGCAAAACACATAAACATTGTTTTGTTTCATTTATCAATCATTACTTAATTTATACACAAAATAGTTAATTAACTTAAAAAATAATTTCAATAAATCATTTATTTTAATATAACTATAATAACTAAAAAAAGTTTTTTATGTTAATTATTTCTTGAATTTTTAAGTAATTTATTATATTTGGTTACAATCATCATATTTGTTGAATGATTGATGTTATGAGAGGACAGATATAAAAAATGTTAATAAGATTTTAATTAAAAACTTTTAATTTATTTTTATTACTTATATATTAGTAAAATATTTTTTTATTTGTAATATTCATATTAAAAGTTATATATTATTGTATTATTTAATATATGATATAATTTATTCCCAATAATTATATGGATTTTAACAATTGAATTGCAATAAACTTTTAAAAAATCAAATGTAAGTCCAAAATGTTAATGTGTTTTGAATTACGCGCGCAAAACATGTTATATGAAAATGTATTAATACGTCGTTTAATGTCAACACTCATTAAATTTAAACTATAATATTTGTAACAATTTTTAAAGACATAAATTACGTCTATAATAAATAAAGGATATTAGAAAATTTGTATTATATTTTATATAGAATACAACAATTAGGGGAATAATAATATCTAACATTATTGATATATAAGATTTTATGTATATTTTGCAATAAATGTTCACGAAATGATAGACTGACTCTACAATAGACTGCAATTATTTTTGTTGTGTAATATTGTCTACCGTTTTCTTCTTATTAAATCTAATATATATTAATATTTATTTAAAGTAATGTTTTTAAGTTAAAAATATTTACATTTTTAAATGACTAAAATTATAATCTACATGTACTAAGTTATCTTATACTACTAGCTTATAATTACGTGTATTTAAAACATTGATTAATTAATAGCTGTAATTGAATTAGAATTTATAGAATCTGTTAATTTGAAAATATTTGTAATTATTAAACATAAAAGTTTGTAGTAATTGAGTATATTTTTATGCATTCATATTATATAATTGTATTTTTGATGACAATTTTATATTATTTTATAATCCTTTTAGAATCTAAACATATGTATTAACCGATTTGATTGTTTCTGGGAAATAGTGATTCCTGTGGAACAGTAATCTCATTGTACACTCTATTGTATATATACATAGAGAGTGTGTGTTTACGAGTGCTATACTTAATGTACAGAATATGTCTGTTATGTTGAATACATTACAATTGAATTGCATTAATGCTATCATAATATTGTTATTAAATAATCAATTAATTTGACTTATAGTTAGTTAGTGTTGTCTATGAATTGTAGAAAAATTGTTGCCATTTATTAATAGTCACTGAAAACAGTGCTAATTATAAAATACAGTATTATATGATTTATTGATTACATATTCATAATTAATATTGAAATGTAATGATTATTATTAGCTATGAATTTGATAGAAATGTCATTAAAAAATTGTTGATTATATTTGTTATTATTTAATTGATTGTATATTAAATAGTATTTATGATACGATATATTAAATTAATATCAATGTTATAGTGTTTTATAATAACTTAATAATAATATTAAACAAATAGTAATCGCAATCTCATTGCTTGTAATCAACAGTGCGTTCAATGAATGTGACGACAAATGTCTGAACTGTTGTTTGACTTCAATCTGACGGGTATTTCAATTAAATGACTTAATCTGATGACATGTTTTTATTATGAATGTGTTTGTTGTCCACACAGTATCGTCGGCCAAGTTGTCGGGCACTACAGCCTTCTTTAAGCCGGACCCGTACGTCGAGATTGTGGTCGACGGAGGCGTACCAAACAAGACTGACTATAATAAGTCCACTTATAATCCCAAATGGGATGAAGTGTTTCCATTGTATGTACTAATTGGTGATCAAATATCTTATATAATATTTGATTACCATTTCATTCAATTATAAATAAACAAATGTTATGTTTAGTTGATATACGATATAACAGTAGCACTCCTTTGATGATAATTAGGGCACTCCTATAGTCTGTTAAGACAATTGATAACAATTGGCAAATTATTGCAGTTATATAAAAATATTGTTGAATTATAGTTATCATATATCATATGATTTGTGGCAAATAATAGATTAAATATTAGTTAACTAATTATAAGTATATATTTAATTAATAGTAACAGTACTGAAACGTATGTTTTATGATATTACTGTTAATTATTAAATCAACTGTTTTTATAATTAACAAAAAACTTTAAAATGATAGTTAAATTGTTAATTAATTGATTAATTGTTAATTAATGTTTGTTGTAAAAACAGGTGTGTTTCCGCCTATTCCTTCATTCATTTACGAGTGTTTAATCACAACTCAATCAAAAGGGACGCCCTATTAGGTGAGGCCACTATCGATATCTACGAGCTATTGAAACGCAATAATGGTGTGTTTGAACGGTTGACATATCCACTACAATTGCAATCGCCGGCCACTAATGGCCCGAAATCAACTCGAAACCCGTGTTTTTTGTATACAGTGTTAGATGGACTCCGAGTAGATATGAGTAGATTTCCTCCTAAAGACTCTCATCGGCCGCTATCAGTGCGGACCACGACTAACAGTGATGCGGATATCAATAGCCCTTCGTCATCATCAACACCACTACTGCCTCGAATTGTTGAATCGGATGCAACTGCTTCATCGTCCACAGTAACAGCTCAAGATATGACCAGTGCATCGCCAAGTAGTGACAATTTGCCGGCCAATGGCGGTGTGCCCAATACTAACGGAATGGCAAGCATTATAAGTTCACTGCCTCGTTGGTCACTAAACGATCCAAATCCTAACAATAGGGTTAATAATGTTGCAAATACTGCAACCCCTGCTTCTCAACCACAGCCAGAAACGGCTGCTCCCAGGCCTAGTCCCGCTCGTTTACCACCACCACCACCGCCGCCACCAGCAGCAGCAGCAGCAGCACCCATACCACCAATGTCCAATCTTCCCGGACCTGTTGTGGGTGCACCTATGATACCAACAACAGCACCAGCAACTGTTCAACAAAACGTTGAAGAAGAACCGCTTCCTCAAGGATGGGAAATCAGATTTGATTCTTATGGAAGGTTAGTATCTTAATATTTATTATAAATATTTTTTCACTTATTAATGGGATATTTGTTAATAGAAAGTATTATGTGGACCATAATTCGAGATCAACTACATGGGAACGGCCACAACCATTACCTCCCGGTTGGGAAATGCGAAGAGATAATAGAGGAAGAGTTTATTATGTCGATCACAACACTAGGTTTGTTTCCTTTAGCCCATTGACCAATAATTAGATTTTTAATAATTACGGAAATGATTTTTATTAGGACGACTACATGGCAGAGGCCAACACCAGAGCACGTCCGTAATTTTCAGCACTGGCAGTCACAACAGGGCTCTATTATGCAACAGTGCGGACAAAGGTTTCTTTATGATCACTCAAATAATAACGGGTCAGCCGTTGTCAATGGAGCTAACAGTAGTACAACAGAAGATGACACATCACTTCCAGAACTACCAGAAGGTTGGGAGCGAAGAGTTGATCCCAGCGGAAGAGTTTATTTTGTTAATCATAAAAATAAAGTTTGTATAAAATTGTTTTTATAAAAAAAAAATTATATTATTTAGTAAAACATTTATTATATTTTATTCTATAGACTACTCAATGGGAAGATCCGCGAACACAGGGAAAAGAGACGCCTAATCTTGCAGCAGAAGTCCCATTGCCTGCCGGTTGGGAAATGAAGTATACAACTGAAGGAACGCCTTATTTTGTTGACCACAACACAAAAACTACGACATTTAATGATCCGCGCGGACCAAAGGGAGGTAAAGGCCAGTATGGAGTTCCAGCAGCCTATGAGCGCTCTTTTAGGTGGAAATTAACACAATTTCGATACTTGTGTCACTACAACGCTCTACCCAGTCATATCAAAATTCAAGTGGCCAGAGCTAACATATTTGAAGACTCATTTCATGCCATTATGCGGGTCCCACCACACGAACTCAGGAGACGACTATTCATTACCTTCAGAGGTGAAGAGGGTCTCGATTACGGCGGTATTGCTAGAGAATGGTTTTTCCTATTATCACATGAAGTAAATTATTAATTGAATGAATAATTGAATGAAATCAATGTCTAATAAAATGCAAAATTTAAACTATTTTTTTGTTTTCTATAGGTTTTAAATCCGATGTATTGTCTGTTTGAATACGCCGGCAAAAATAATTACTCATTACAAATAAATCCGGCCTCATCAGTGAACCCTGATCATTTACTATATTTTAGATTTATTGGACGATTCATTGCTATGGTTTGTCTCATTTTTATATATATATATTTTTTCAATATCTTTTTGTCTGTCATTATCGTAATGTTGATGTTTTATGAGCTATATTTAAGTTTTGTATACTTTATAAAAAATCAATATTTAAAATCAATTTTTTAACGTATAATAATAATTCTCGGAATAGTTTTTTATTATTATTTAATTTCTTATGAATTTACATCATTTTATTAGTAATACTGTCTTTAGTAATATCAGTTATTTTTTGTTTTATTACTATCTATTAATATTTATACTTAGATTAGTGATAAAATACAGTACAGTACTGCATATAAAAATATTTGTTAATTACGGTACCATAACGTAAAAATTTATTTAAAAGATACTGCAATTTCATCTAACATATTATACAGTACAGTATATTATTTATATTACCGGTATATTATATATTATGTAGTAAAATACTATACTATAGTATACAGATTATATAATACAATAAAATTATATTTCTCATTTTAAATGATAAACTTTGAATATAGTCGCTTTATATATATATATATATATAGTGGTAAATAACATTTTAATAACATTTATTATAAAACAATAATTCAAAATTAATGATTTTACAGATAAAATACTTTACTTTTTATGTATCAATTGTTTAATATAAATATTTAAAAATTATAATTTGTTTTTTGATTGAATTTTAGGCCCTATTTCATGGAAAGTTTATTTATAGTGGTTTTACGTTACCATTCTATAAGCGAATGTTAGGCAAAAAGTTGGTTATGAAAGACATCGAATCAATTGATCCCGAGTTTTATAATTCTCTTCTTTGGATTAAGTAATTTGTTTTGACATTAAAAGTGATTTTTTAAAACTAAAACATTTATTCTATTATATCTACAAATCTTTAGAGAGAATTCAGTAGAAGAGTGTGGTTTGGAATTATATTTTTCAGTAGACTTTGAAATTTTAGGACAAATACAATCACATGAATTAGTTCCCAATGGGGGCGACAAAAGGGTTGACGACCAGAATAAAGATGAGTACTTAAGACTTATGACTGACTGGAGATTCAGTAGAGGTTTGTATTAATTTTTATTTTATTTTACATTCAATTATTGTTAAACAATCTGAATCTATAATTAAAGGTCAAGAAGAACAAACTAAAGCATTTTTGGACGGCTTTAATGAAGTGCTACCACTTGAATGGTTACACTATTTTGATGAACGAGAACTCGAGTTATTGTTGTGCGGAATGCAAGAGATTGATATCGAGGACTGGCAGCGAAACTCAATATATCGACACTACACGAGAAACTCTAAACAAATCATATGGTTTTGGCAGTTCGTACGCGACGGTTGTGATAATGAAAAACGTGCCCGACTTTTGCAATTTGTCACCGGTATGTCCATCACATTGAAATAATGAAATATTTGATACAATTGTTTTCTTGTAGGCACATGTCGTGTACCAGTTGGTGGTTTTGCCGAACTGATGGGCTCTAATGGTCCGCAAAGATTTTGTATTGAAAAAGTCGGTAAAGAGAATTGGTTGCCACGAAGTCATACCTGTTTCAATCGACTCGATTTACCGCCGTATAAGTCATACGAACAGTTGGTTGAAAAGTTGACGTTTGCTATTGAAGAAACTGAAGGTTTTTCACAGGAATAGACCATTCAGTAAATGATTTACTTTAAGACCAATTACTTAGAAACTGCACTATCAGTGATAACAACCAAAATAATGTTGTGATCGACCAATGAATGTCCAGTCGTTATATAAAATGACAGATAAAACACTTGAATATATTATATATAAAATATTTAAGACTGACTTTTCTAATGATTGTTAGATAATGTCTATCGGTTTTATGCTAAACATTAAGTCAATATTTTTAATGTTTAAAATATGATTAAAATTCCAAATGAATTTTGTGTTTGTTATTACAAATTATTGTATAAATGCGAAGCAATTTTCTATTATAATGTTTTTATTGTTTTAATTTTATTTGACTACTAATTACTGTATCTCAAGTTTCAGAGATTTATTTTTTAAAGTCTATATTTTTAAACAAAAGAGAAATGAATTCTGTACTTAATGTTATGCATATAATCAATATAATAATCATTATTGTATATTAGTATTATATTATTATTAATTTTATTGATTGATCGATTATAATATTATATAAATAAAAACAAACAACTTGTTCAAATTATATATTATTAAAATTATAAAGTTTATATTATTTAAGATAAAAAGTATATATTATTGAATACGGTAATAAATAAAAATTGTTTAGTAATTCAAGTAATTGTCTAATAAAAAGCTACTATAATTATTACAATTAATTGGCCTAATTTTGTTATTAGCATTATTATTATTTAACATTTTTAGCCATAAACTAAATATGTTAAATCACTTATAATAAAATTCAAATGATTTGTATTATAGATATTATTTGTTGTAATTAATTTTGTCATCACAATACAGGTAAAAAATATTACAATTCAATAATTTTTTAGCATTTTATTATAATTGGAGTCTCACATAACATCAAATATAAAGTATTTAAAAACTAAATTGATTACAAGCATATTAAAATAATTAATATTCAATTAATTGTTTATTGATAGGCAATATATCCTGGATGAGATGAAATGTCAGTACTATACACTTGTATGGAGCCGTCGGGCGCCTGATGTGTGTAAGCTTGATGTTGATTTTGGCTAATGGTATATGTGTGCGGGTAGACTGTTATAGGATGCGGTGTATGCATAGCACTGGTATTTGGAATGTATGTGGGTTGTTGGTGGGCAACCAGATTCTCAAAATATATAACCGCAGGATTGGCCGTTCCTATTAAACAAACCAATCAAACAATCAATAATTCTATATATAGTATGCATTTAGAAATTTTAATTTATAAACATATTTATATAAATAACATCAAAATTATTGTTTAAAATAGTTATATTAGTAAATACAATATATCATTAAAATCGCGATCATTGACTTATTGATTAATAAATTGTACAAACCTTGAGGAATGGATGTGGTGTTAGTTGTTGACTGTCCGCTGGCATACATACACGACGATTGACCCGAAGTCGATGCATAAGTGTGACCAGAAACCTGTTCCTCATTAGCCACAACTATAGTAGTGGTCATTTGGTTGTTAGTGTTGGCGTTTTTTTCCTCTTTAATCTCCGGTTTCTCGTTACTCTTTGTCTTACTTTCCTTAAGTAAGACATACTGTTCCTCCCAATATTTCAAGTCATTGCTAGCATTTTCTACCTTTTCCTCTAATTGTTTCTTTTCTTCAATTCTTTTTTGAAATTCCTGGTCATCATCGGCACCGGCTTCGGCACAGTGACAGGTGGCCAATGACTCCTTGAGCTTAGAATTCGCTGTTTCGTATTCGCGCTTTAATTTGAGAACCACTTTGATTAGCTGTTTGCTAATATCAATACGTGCTCTTTGAGTCTTAATTTTAATAACCAATCCTTGTATCATTTGCATCAGTTCATCCACTTGTGTTTCATATATTTTGCGCTCCAAATCAATCTCAAATTGATGGTTAATCTCTTCTGCTTCGGAGCTAATCATATTCTCATCCATTTCAATCACTTTATTATCTAATAAATGTCAAAAACATAAATTAAAATAAATATATAAACTTCATTGTAATACCATTAATATTGTCTTTGATTTCATCTGTAGTTTCCGATCCGTCGGTATTTTCAGAGATAGCGGCCATCGACTCATTGAACGCTTTCTTTGCCTTATCTCTGGCAATCTTAAGCATCGCTGCCCTCCAGTTAGATGGCAAACGTTTTACATCAATGTCAACCATTTTAACCGTTTGAATGGTATTACATTTGAACAATAATTTGCTGATCTGTTCTTCACTTGCCGTCAACTGTTTATTGAGAGCTGTCTTGTCGTCGTCACTCTGACACTGACATAAAGATCTCAATTGTTTGAGTGATTCGTGACATGTCTCGAGATCTATCTTAATGTGAGCTAACAAAAGACAAAGTGGTCGTCAAAGTCATGTCCAAAACAAGTCAAACAACTGATAAGCAGTTGTCATACAAACCGAGTATCTGTTTGTGTTGACCGATGTGTTCGTATTCATCGACCAGTTTGTCGTACATATCGTACCTATCATTGATCATCTTCTGGATCTCTTTACACAACTTCTGGGTCGATGTGAACCTCAATTTGAACGGCAATTCATTGATGTTGTGGTCAATCTGGTCAACGACGGCGACGGAACTCATTGTTGTCTTCAATAGTGATACAAACACAACAAAAACTATGGGATTTGTTGGTCAATGTAAAGGAAAAGTAAAGCAATGGTTACATAGACTGACACCGACAACGATAGCACTGGGATGTGATGTCTTGAGCAACGGTTACACAAAACACATGAATCGCTTAAAAGCCGCGACTTTTGGGTTTGTATTTCGCCAATAATACAGACGTTTTATAAACATTTGTTTGTTGACATCCAATACAACACAATAGCTTGAAATCAATGTATCGCTTGTCTACAGATCCCATACATTGATTGTACTATACTGTAGACGCCATTAATGTTAATCATAAGTACAATACAGTCGACACTATTTATAGCTACTCTCAATATGTTTGCCATAAAATATATTTAAATTATTTTCACATATATATTGACTATAATAGTGTAATATATAAAAACATTTGATACCAGAGTTATATAATCTATTATTAATAGTTAATAAATTGTCGACAATTGCGACAATTAATGATTAGTGAATATAAGATAAGAGTTAACCATTGGATTTGGCTCTACATTACATTCAATTTAGTCGATAATTTGGGCTTTTTTATTATCACATTTTAAACATAGATATCAAGTAAACTATATAATAGAATAGTGCCAAAAGTGTATTGATATAATGCCATTAAATTTTGTACACTAAGGGAATACCATTGACTACTTTAACGGTGTTTTCATATGTAATACAATTTAAATAAATACAGAATATTCTTAATGTAAATATAAGCTCATATACCGTAGTGTACTATATATTTATATATTATACTGTATTTTTAAAATTAATATAATATATAATTATTATTTTCAATTTGTATAAAAGTATTTAATACTTACAATAGAGTAATAAATAATATAATAAAGTTAAGAAATAGATAACTAATTTGATATTAAATATATACCGTAATGTATTGATGATATATTTATTACTTAACATTTTTTTATCAAAAATATTATTTTGTAAATGTATATAAAATTTACTTCAGGATATTAATATTATTTTCATTATTAATTAAAATATAACAGTAAAATGCATTTTATTTTAATATACTTATTATATTATTATATTATACAATTATCTTAAAAAAATTATTTTTTAAACAAAAAAAACCATAATTGTATAAAGAAATAAAATATTATCCCAAAATGTTATTATTTAATTTATGGAAAAATTAATACTAAAACTTTTATTTCAATTTTTCAAACATATACTACATTATATAATAAATTATTGATATTAGTAACAAATTATTCAAAATTAAATTAATCAAAAATATTAATAGAATATATTTACATAATAGAAGACTTGTCAATTTTTCAGTTAAAATCATAAATTTATAAAAAAAAACTGAAAAAAATGAATGAATTTTTATTTATATTATATTTGTTAAATATTGTGCTATAATATAAAAAATATAATATTTCTAAATAAAATTATGACATTTACTGTATCTAAAGATAAATGTTATATATATATATAAAGACATAAAAAAATATTTTGACAATTTATTTGATCAAAATGAAACTGTGCGCTAAACAGGCAAATAACTGTCTAAACATTTGCCAGTAATCTGAACTCTCTCTCTCTCTCTCTCTCTCTCTCTCTCTCTCTCTCTCTCTCTCTCTCTCTCTCTCTCTCTTTCTCTCTTTCTTTCTTTCTTTCTCTTATTATTATTGATAATTATCCTGTTTTAAAAAAATCAGAGCTAATATATAGATCTGGACGGTTAAAGTTACGTTTGATGATAGCAATGGCCATATTTGCGATGGCAAACATACATTGCCGGTCCTCATCCGCTCCCCATTTATTACTAGCACTTGATATGACAGCAGACATCGCTATAGCCTTTGATTAAGAATTTTTGTGTTTTTAAAAAAAATGTTATTTTAATAAATATATTAAAAATAATACGTTTTCCTACTGTACAGTACTTACTGCTGCAAATGATATGACAACCACTACAATACACGACAGCAAGTTTCCGCAAAATTTTCTCATTATATACAGAATTAAAGTACAGATTAAAACATATCAAATTTAAACTTTTAATTGAATAACAATAAGTTTCTTAATTATAAATAAATTGAAATTTTTGACAAAAATTTGTTCGAAAATATTGCATTGAAAATATTCATTAAACAGTTTTTAAAAATATTATTGAAAATTATGCGGTTTCTATTGAAACACAAATTTAATATATAAAAATAACATTAGTTTGTATTGTAAAAATTTGTAAATATAGTTACACTCATTAAAAGAATCGATAACTGATAGTGAAAAATATGTTGTAATACACGACTATTATTAAAATACACCACTGGTAACAAAAACAACAATACTTATATAAGTTTATTTATAACCATATATTATATATCAATATATAAACATATACAGCTAATATACAGTATTATTATTGCCTTATATCACACAAGATATACATGTATAACATATACAAAATCACAATAATGGGGTTTCTTTCTACCTGTACTACTATAATAGGCATTTCTTAATTAAGAAAGAAATCAATTTTATTTATTATTGTATAAAACAAATTTAGTTGATTTGACACATATAATATACGTATAATATACGGTATTTATAAAATAATTTTCTTAATACATTATATAAAAAATGTAATATTCTATACTTTATTAATATCAATGTTAATTAAAATAATATTTCTAACTCTAATGTTAATTAAATTTTCTATAAATTGTATAACAAAATATGATTGAATATAATTAATACTTAAAGGTTTATATATATAATATAATTTATAATTAAATATTATATATTTAAAATACATGCATGTACTGTACATACAAATTTAATTAAGTTACATTAAAACTTATTTAAAGCTATTGTATCTTATACATTTTATAAGTTTGTAAAAATATAAATAATTTTATATTGAATCAAATATTTTATTGTTGAACATTATCAATTTTTAATATTATCGATTATTATAATTGCATATTTTAATCTATATACAGTACCGAATATAATATATAATGTTATTTATTGAATTATTTTATTTTACCGGTAATGTTATAAATTAAATTAGGATACGATTAAAAATAACTATTATTCTGTATAAAATAAATTCTTTATATTTTATTGTATATTTAATTAATTTTTATATTTTATATAATATTTATACAAAATTCAATAAAATAATAAAAAACTAAAATATTTTTTAAAACCACTAAAATTAAATATAATAAAAGTAGTATATTTTAGTTGACATAACTACAGTATAAATAAAAAGCTGAATGTAACTTATATGTGGGCGTTATATTACATTTATATAGAAATAAAAGTATTAAATATTAAATCTCTTAAATATTTGATTTCAGTTGGGTTTTAATGACTAATATTTTCATTAATTATTTTTACACTAAATAATATGTGAGTCCGGCTTTGATTAATGACAGCACATATCATACCACTGTTTAGTCTGTTTTGTGTAAACAACGTATAAATATATTGTTTAAATGTATCAAAATATTCTTCTAAACACATTTAATACTGTATTTTTAGTAAAAAATAAATAAAAATCATTATTAATTATTTATAATTTTGACATTTATAATGTCATGCGAAAAAATAAATATACTTTTACGTATAACTATAAATAATTAAACTAAATAATTAAAATTATTAGTAAACAATCTAAGAATTTCCTAGAAAATGGCATTTTATAACATTATTATTATAAATCTATTTTCATAAATGATTCAATGAATTATTTATTTATTATTATATTTAGTGTATTATTATTTTGTTGTTATTCTATACAATAAACTAATCTAAATATTCAATTTCTTTGATAGTTCATTGAACTCCGTTATTGTTACTAATATTTCATAATATTTTTATCTAAGCAAAGAATATTATAATATTTTTAAATCATAATGTTATGTTTATAATAAAAAGCTATAAATTTGTAAATTTAATACTATTTACTAATAGTAATTTATTAATAAAAAACTGATAATCATCATTATTCTAAAAAGTGTCAAAATTTTATTTATATATTAAAAAGTATAAAAATACAAAAATTGCTAATGTGCATCAACTATTACAGTTATTAATACAGAAAAAATTAATGAAAATTATGAAGTTATATAAACTGTTGATTAATCATAATGACAATTATGAAACAATTATATCGTAATTATTAATATAATAATTATACTAATATAACATATAAAAAACATTTTTATAGAAAACATTTGTAATATTAAGCTCATAGGAAAAAACTTTTCTCAAATTTTAAACATGTTTTGTAAATTTTAATGACTAGAATACTATTTATAACTATTATAATACTGTATAATTAGAAAATTTATCAAAAAAATCTAATAAATGTGAAAAAAGTAGATTTTGTTCAAATAATTTGTTACCAATCGGGAGGTCGTTGTGGTCGCTGTGGTCTAACCCTAATTGGAGGTCTGGGCTCTTTTTGTCCGTAAGTATAGTGCAATTTGACTCGATTTCGGGCAGAGTTTGACTTTTGTATCGATCTTTTTATGTAAATCTTGCTATAAGTGCCTAAAAAGTTAAACATTGAGAAAAACTTTTTCCTAAAATCTCGTGAAACAAAATTTTCCGTTTGCTTAGTCTTTACTATCCAATATCCAGCTGTGAATATCTAATAATAATTTTGAAAATATTTATATTAATACTTTGAGAAATTTAGTTTACATTTTAATTAATTGTTTATAAATAACATTAAAAAATTTTAGATAATATGAAAAAATAATTCAAAAAAATGAAAAATATTATTCTAACCTTTTATAAATTTAATAGAAATTACATGTAAATAATAATCCATATAATATATTGGATTATATTTGCATAATAATTATAATTATACTTATAAATACTTCATATTATCCAAAATTTATAAATAAACAAAATCACATTGTTAAAATAAAACTATAAAAACATTTTTTCGACAATTACTACATAATTACAAATAATTAAATTAAATTTTCATTTTTTCCTCTATATTATCGATAGCATCTCTAAAATAATTTTGAAGACTTTCGCCCCAATTATAATTAATGATTACCGTTGCCAACAGCAGTGATGCCAGAAATACAGTACAACAGGCACAGGTAGAACAGGAACAACACATCCTTAATCAGCAATGGATTAGTTAAAAGACATGAAACCACTCGTCCCAACAAATTATTAATAATTTTTTTTCAAATTATTATGTTGTTAACCGCAACTCCTTTTTAAAAAAATATGACTATTGGCTT